GAATGCAGTTGACCAGAGCTAATGCTGACTATAGAGATGCTTGCAGCTTACCTGAACCAGGATCCCAAGCAGAATTCCCCAGAAGAGCGTTTTATCCATGCTCTTGCCATGGTAGGGCTCATGCATGGCTTTGAGCTGACCAAACAGGTAATTATCGACGTCTCTGGTATGAATCGCCTGACTGTCGACGACGGATCGAGTATCATTTTCCCCGTTGCATTTTCTTTGGCGGAGACGTTAATTTGTATGAGGCAGGTCTGCTTCAGGTAATACATGTCGTTGATTTGAAACGAGTGTTCCCTTGAGATGCATATGCATACATGATACAAGCACGCGTATCATCGGGAACAGTCGTCTTGACACGCGGCTGGACGCAGAAAATCTTCCATCGAGGCTTAGATCCGAAGCTACCGCTTCCTCTGTTCCAGGGTGAAGGGTGAATCCTCCTTTCGAGAGCACGAGCACCTCGAGGCATCTAGGTACGGTTAAATGACGCCGCTCCCAAAGTGCTTTTCTCAAACGCGCAACGCGCCGCAACCTTCGTTGGGAGGTTGTAGAAAACTGGGTTTGCACCCACGCAGATCGCAAGCAACCATCGTATGACATGTGTGCCCAAATTCTTGTATTTGCACGTTGGGAAAAGTAGAACCGGTGCCAACAGCAGCAACCCCTCAAGTCTGCAGCTGACTGGCCTCGCTTACCGGCTTACCCCATGCTGCGTTGTAAAGATGTGATATGAAGGTCCGAAGCTCAGGGCTCGGAAAAGCACCCCATCCATGTCTTCTCCTCGTCTGTGGGATGAAATGGATCAATTTGCAGGGCGAGATTACGGTTTCCCTCGCCGGATCGTCCCAAGATAAGAACGGGGGTCTCAATCACACAAGACGATGAACACTCCCTCAATTCTCCGTTTGAGGAGGGGAAGGAAACATCATTCATGCCGTTGATTGAAGACCGCAGCTCAGGGGTTTTAATAACGGGCCATATGTATCGATGAAACGGCATATGGACCGAACAATTGGCATAAGAGCTGATCCGCGGACCAACACCATCGTACCAGAATCCGAGCTGTTGGTTGGCAACATGGTAGAATATTAACCGAAATCGATTTTCTTTCATTTTCTCTCTAATTACTCACAAATTTTAGCCCTCTATGATCCTTGAAAGATGGGGTGGACAACGTGCTACGTCTTCAAGCCCAAGTGAAAGAGACTCTCAATCATCCATCAACTCCCGCCACGAACAACTATTTCCCAGGTGGTTCAATTCACCGACGCACTCGATAATTGTGCGCCCAATGTTTCAACATGTCTTGTCCCCTATTTTGAATCAGCACTATTTGCCCTCAAGTACAGGCCTAGACTCTCCCTTGAGTCTCGCCTCGCCCGGCGGGCTGCCGCCAAGAAGTCTCAGCTGAAGGTGAACACAGGGTCCAGACACTGGCAACAGGGTCAATGTGCCACACAGCCGGGAGCCAGTTGATAATACAAATAAGCATTTGCCAAGGGCAGCTGACAAGGGAAGGCGGCGTTGGGAGTGGCACAAAGGGCGCTGGACCAAGACATTGAGGAAGAAAAAAACAACTGCACACTGCACTGAGGCCCGAAGGGGTGACTTTACATACCTCGATGCAAACCGCGACAATATTGAAAAACCTTAGATAACGACAAGCGCTAATAAGGGGGGAGAAATGACTGGCTTACGGGGGCCACGTCGCGTATGTGGGAGGCTACATATGACGATTATCATTTTTGGGTACATGTACCTACGCCTAGTCACAAGGCCGTCAAGCCGTATCCGTGCCTCAAATCTTAAACCCCATGCCCTCTGCTTTAGTTTGCATAGGGCAATTAGTCGACGCCATCATCTGTGTGGTTATTGATCAGTCGGCTTTGTTTCAGTGTGCGCTAGCAGCTCGAATGGAGGCCAAGCTCTGGGGAGGCAGATTGATTTGCTCAGCTGATGGATTTCTATGGGCAGGCTAAATCCAGATGATGTTAACGCCGGATGCCAAGCAAGGAAATGTACTGGAGCTGCTCTGGAATTGTGGCCCTGGGCGGGCAGTTTGTGAATGGGAGCATACCAAAGCTTACCCGCCCAACGTTTTGGTGAGAGTCAAGATCCCTGTACTGCAGTCGCATCCCATTCCATCATTGCGGATCGCAAGGATCCGACGTGCAACGCAACGTACAGGTCGCGTATCGTACCTGTTACCTACCTACGTATGGTATCTTGATTCAGGGAAGCCGACCAAGGCAGCAGCCAAGTGTGATGAGGGAGGGGTGGGGTCGTCACCCCGCGTTTTGGTCGCTGACGCTACGCTGGTCCACGCTGGGTGACCTCACCGTCGGCGACTCAGCAGCGATTGGCTCCCCAGGGAAGGGCGTCCTGATAAGGGCGTCGCCTGTTGCGGCCTGGTGCAGGATGCCAGCTGCCCTCTTGTGTCCGTTCCGGAGGGGACGGAGGGAGAGAGATAGGACGATATTGGCGACGACTTCACACTACGTAGGCTTGCATGATTGGTTAGATCAGCTATCAGATCTCGCGTACAGAGCAGTCTGGGGGATCAGCAGCCCAGGTTCATATTTTCTCTTCCCTCATGCCCATCGTTGCCTCGATGGGTGTTTACCAGACAGTCTAAGGAACGAGGGGGATCTCGGGGAGAGGTGCGGGATCGCGAACAACCTCATCGCAGTGGGCGGGCCAAGACGAGAGCACCCCAGCAAGACGACAAAGATCCCTCATTGGTGCCTCTCTAAACCGGAATGTGACGCAAGTGCGAAAAGATGGTGAGCGAGATAAGCTGCTAGCATTCCTGTTCAGAGAACAATCAAAGAAGGCCGAAGCTGGAAAGAACCTTTTGCGCGGCATATGTCACCGATGGGCCATGCGTCTGGTGCTGCTACATCATGCTCACTCCTCGGAGAAGCAGCCGCAGACACCTGCACTGGTTTTGGCACCACACTGGATGCAAGTGCTTCTGACGGTGGTGGGGTTTCGAGTCAGTCTGCGCGGTCTGCGCGGATGAACGAGATAGACATTGCCGAGCCTGCTGCAGTCTGTAGACCGTATCATCGGGCAGAGCATTATTCCCCGGGTTACTGCCTGGCCATCGCGTGATGGTTGGGGATGCTTATCAGTGGCTCCCAACTCGGCCGATGGAAAGACTGCGCTACAGTCTTAGCCATGTGTTCTTATCTGCCCACTCGTTAGACTAGGCGTGACCACCAGCTAAGCCCGAATGCAGGGCCCGTATCAATCAGGGTCCTATCAAGTGAATAGATAGATCCAGGTGATGACCTACAAACAGACCCCTTCCCCCCGTCCAAGGAGATCACTCGTGTTCCATCTGTCTGTCATTCATTTTCAACTCTCTCATTCCTCGTCTCAGCCCAGCCCAGCCCAACCCGACAAATCTCAGCTTCAACCGAGCTTATCTCAGGTCGACTAACAGCCGATAGCCAAGCTCACGCATTAGAGTTGCCGGGCTAGGCTATCTGTAGACATTGGAGCCGGCTCCGATTATCGGGGAACTCAACAATCAATCGCCTGCCATTTGCAGTGGGAACCCGACCGACCTGTCAAAGGTACAAACCGCCATCGCCGAAAATCATTCAAAGGTGCACTGGTGAATGAATCGCCTACACTGACAGGCTGCACACCTGCAAGGTACGAGAGGGCGGCACGCGTTACATACATCCATACTACTGCTACATCAGCGTCAGCCTGGGAACCGATTTGGCACCCCCGGCACGGTCGGCAACAACGGAGAGGGCATTATTATTATTAATAATAATAATTTCGACTTTAGAGGGCGCCCAAGAGAGAGCCCAAGCAGAAAAGGCGCTAGGAAGCCTCAGGAAGGGCAGAGAGAAGCAATCCTAGCTGAACGTGCTGCGCTGGCTGTGTTCTGGGCTTGCAAGGGCACGTCGGGGAGCGCCATTACGTACTGAATTTCGGCCGCCCACAACACACGCGAGCAATTCCTGGACGCTGTCGACTTGGCTCAGTCCCCTTTGTTGGCGCTGGCCTATTACGTACTTGTCTCACGCAGGGACCTGTCAACCCCTTTCCCACCCCTCCGGGCCAGTGGGCGTGGTGTACCTGAGGACGCGGGCTGAGGCCAAGGGACATGCGACGAGATAGAGGAGGATTCTCCTCTCTCCATCGCCTTCGTTCCTTTTGGAAGGACGATAAGCCGATATCCATCCCGCGACTAAAATAAGGAGCGCGGGAGCACTCCTCTGCAAATTAACTGCCTTCTGGCTGGGGAGGCTTGGTTTGGCTGGTACCTACTGGCCCACTCTTACTGAGGCACGCCCCCCGCAAACCGAGCTGAGGTACCCAGTACAATTACATCAGGGCCAGCGCGGTTCCTTTTTTTAAATCCAAAAAAGTACCGCGGCCACCACTGCCCCAAAGTCCCGCCAGGTACCCCCACGCTGTTTCGCGTATTCGGGATCCGCCCCGGTACCTGCAAGTACTTGGGCCACGCATTAACTCGGTACTCGCTGGCCGCCCACTGAGGCAGGCCGCATTTGAGTCCCAGCACAGAGCTCAGGCCTCGACTTGCCTTATCATCGGATGCGCTTGGATTGGACTGGCCCGCGGAATCAGACAGCGAAACAGGGTCTGGTGGGTCAGCAACCGACGCCATGATCTCCCCCAGGTCATTCATCTACACTCACCAGCACCCTCCTTCCACACCCTCTTCCTCCTCGTACCGAACATCGTCAGCCACTTCGAAATCCAAAAACATACCTTCGCCCTGTAGATCGAGCTGCTGCAATCCTTCCAAGACGCACCAACACCGACAGCGAGATCACCACCACTCGCCTCCTCGAGACACCATCGCCAACAAGTCCACCGCCACCATACCGCGGCGCATCAGTGCCCTCAAGTATGACGAAAGACCTACGCCTTGCCCCATTGCCATCAACAGCGTCGTACCGATCCGACAGCAAGCAGGTATTACTGCGGACTACATCCAATCGCTCGCCATGGGCAAACGCAAGAGTCCTGTAGACACCATGGGTTACTCTCCGCCTAGTCCTCCTGAGTCGACTCTCGACACCGGTCGTCCAGTAACCATCTCGAGCCCGGTTCAGATCCCAAAGAATGGCAAGCGTGTTACATCGCACGCCCAGAAGCGCCTCTCGGGGACCCCCCGGCGGGTATCAAGCCAGGCCCATCTGGCAGGCAACATTTCACCTTCTGTCGCCGCTCTTCTGGCCGTAACGGATATCCCCAAGATGGGCTCCCAACGACGGAAGCGCAGGTCAGAGCAGCTTCTGACTGCCACCGATATTGTGGATAGGCAGCAGATGTCCGAGAAGGAGTTCAGCTGGAACATGTCCCGTACGCCCATGGATGTGCTACTGTCGCCTCCCGAGGAGTTTGCCGATGACATGAGCATTGCCGCGAGCGACTGCAACACATGTTCTGCTCTGTCCACGAGGACCATGTCTGTGGACTCACTACCATCGCTCGGTGACTCATTTGCGACCGACGGCATTTCGTCTATCGAAACCCCGGGCAGCCCGAGCTTGTCGATGCGGAGGAGGAAGATGAGCCCAATGCGCCGTTCATTGGAGCCTCTGCAGTCGCCTCCTGGAGAGGATCTCGACCACCCACTTTCCAAGAAGCACTTCCATCAGGAGGAGCCAGCCCTGGAGCCGCTGCCAGAGTCGATTGAAGAGGAGTCATCAACGAACCTTTTTGGACAATTCAAGCCATTCCGCTACGCTTTCAAATCCAACCTCACAGCGTCTATTCGAGCTCTACGGTCTGCTGCGAAGTCTTTCTCTGCGATCAACTTCTCATCAATCCCTTCGGATGATTTTCTCACCCGCTCCCTTCTCACAATTGACCCCAATGTCCCTTATGCGGATGAGAGACGGCCTCCAGTCATGGACGATATTCCTTCGGCCGAGGTACGACGATATCTCAACCCAACCACATCACCTCGCGTTGAGACGCATCCGGTGACCATCCCACCCCCTCGCAAGTTTTCTGCATCAATTCAGATGCAGACATACAAGGTACAGCGGTCAAAGGTTAACTCGGGCCGCAATAACTACCCACGATCTTCACCGCAACATGGTTCACTGAGCCAACCAGAGGAGAAACAAGCTTCTGACCCCGGACCACAAACCCCAGCCCCAGCAGTCCGCCAACGGGAGATGCGTGAGAATTCCGACTTCATCCGCATTGCAGTTATGGAAATGGCAATGCGCAAGCGCGGCAAGCTGGACGACCAGACACCAGGACGCGCGCGCTGGGCACTCCCACCAAGAAAGTCATCTACGGTAGCATATCAGATCGGAGCCGACGGTGTGCCCGCGCGATGGATCGCCATCACCTGCTAAACAGCCCATTCCAGAGCCAGGACTTGGATTGATCATCAATTCTACGGTGTGCCCTCCAGTATTGAACGAAACAAACCCTCTCAATTTCTGCCACGAGGGCAGTGTGGCCTGAGGGTCTCACAACCACTTTACCGGATTACCCTTTGTGTGGCCCCAACACATCTTGCAGATTACCTCCCGAAAACAGCAGTCCAATATTACATCGCACAGAGGAACATGCGGGCTGATGCAAGCACCCTGGCAACGAAACAGAGGGTAGGGCAGGATAGCCATGCATTGACACGTCATTGGTACCCGGTCCAAAAATTATTTGGCCAGGCTCCAATGCAGGTCAATCAGCCACTGCTACGGCATCACCCGCCATGTGGGTGGGCCGTTAGAACCCTCTGTTACCCTCAGGCCTGCCCGGATTGTGTGCGCCCTTTTTGGGCCACCTTCGCCACTTTTTCGGTCTTCCGCTTCGCCGATGGAAAAGTTTTAGAAGCATCATGGAACACGAGCAGTTGGGGAAACGGGTCCAACTTGCGCAATCCAAGTTTGTTCCAATGAGCAAATATCTGGTCGGTGCAAGGCATACGACTCAATTTACCACTCGTGGCTGCCAAGCTCACCAGCCGTTTTCCCGCACGTCCTCACTCTTTCTCTTCTTGCCAGCTTCCAATTCGGAATGGGATCAGATAAGGATTGTCGGTTCGCTGCAGGGTCCCTTTGTTTCTTCCATGGATCAGTCATGTTACCACCCAGTACACCGCCCACCACCGACTGAGTTGACTGATTGTGGTGGATCAGAATTATTCGAAGCTCATCTTAGCCTTGGTCGCTGATTGCATTAGTTTCAGCTGTCGGCGTCGGCCAACCGATATTTTTTTCACTCGCGGACCAGCCGACCCCCACCCTCCCTCCAAAATGAGCCCTGACTCTACAACCACCGACGTCGGATCACTAGCCTTGGTCTCTCAATTCACGATAAGGCCAGTGTAGCCTGGAGAATAGCCCTACCACATCGGAATGATTTTTCTTCGTCGGAGTGTTTTTGCGAACAGATCCACTTATATTTTTCTTTCCACTTGTTCATATCTTGAGTCATACCGACACAAACGCGACGTCGCGACACACACCACCCTATCACAATTGTCCAAATTCCCATTGGAGATGTTACGAATCATGCCACGATTTCTTTTTATTTCTCTTTTTTGATCTATTCCCATTTAGCAAGGAGTCTTCATCTCATCGCCATCATCAGAAAGCAGCAGCGGGAACAGGATCTTTCTACATTTTACAGGTACAGCATGGCATTAGGCTGCATAGTGGAGCGAATTTGTTTTTCATCGTTTTTTTTCTTCTCACGTCTCACTGGATGTACCGGGATACTTACCCAATCTACAAAAGAGAAAGAGCCTACCAGAGGCCAATGGCGCAAGCACATACTACGATGTCAGTTAGTGTGATACAGATAGTCTCTTGGAAATAGAAAGACAAGCCCTACTTTTTTTTCAAACCTATGGGCCTCGGTTCCTCCCCCACTCTTGCGTGCATATAACCAGAAGGATGCAGACACTAGAGCGTTTACCGCTATCCACTCATAGGGCCCTCCATCCACCGACTAGCCAACTTTTTTCACTAGACACACTCCGTTGTTAGGGTAGGGGACCTGTCTTTTATTTTTCTTCTGCGGGGAACCAGTCATTGGATGCCATTGGATAGGATTACATGTATGTATGTGTGCCCAACCAGTGTGAAAAATAACGATTAAGCGAGGTAGCCGCGCGACATTAGGGCAGAGCACAACCCCAGACTTGTCTCTTTCCTCTCTGACGAGTGTTACATGCGCTATTCCAATGGCTTGATAGGGTTAAGACCCGATGTCTATCAAAATTCGAGATGTAGTGAAGCGTATTTGAAAGCATGGGTTGTCACTCGGAGGGGTCAACTGCATAAAACAATGCTGGCACTTTGTATATTCCTTCTTTCCAAACGACTAGATACACCTGTTACATATACATTGGAAAGATGGCCGGTTTCATCCTAGCCCCTGGGAATTAATTGGTCGGTTTCCCATCCTAGCACTTGAACAGGGCAGGTCCGGGGATGGTGTAAGTGGAAGCTATATAACAAACAGTGGTTAGCTCATTGGAACTTCATTGAAAGGGGTTTCGAGTTTCGGGAGATTGGATGCGGACTTACCCTTGTAGGAGTCGTAGGTGATACCCGGGTCGGTGCTCTTGTAGGCTCCGGGGAAGGAGACGAGGTTGCCGGGGGTGGTGCTGCCGCCGCCGGTGACCTGGAGCTGGTGGCAGCCGGGGTAGAACTGGGCTCCAGGGTAGGAGTAGGCCGCGTGCAGGGCGATGATCTCGTGGCGGACGAGGTAGTATCCGGCCTTGATGCAGGAGGGGATGGTGTACTTGACGCCAGCATTGCCGGATACCATCAGGGAAGACTATTTTAAACTCATGTTAGAATTGTTGATAACCATTTACCTCTTTTACCAAAGAAGCGAAGGGAATTGGTGAAGGGTCGAGCTTACAGCAGCCCAGGTGTTGGAGGTTCCTTCACGGCCACCCTCCTGGACCTTGAACCAGACGGCATCGGTTCCGGGCATGTAGTTCTGGCACCCAGCGTCGGGGCAGCGAGCCATGTAGGTGAGGACGGGCCCAACATGGCTGTCCGGCCACAAGGTCCAGTTAAGCGTAACGGTCGAACCGGCTGCGGCGGTGGCGTGCAGCTTGGCGGGCTTGCTACCGACGATGCCGCCTGCGGAGTAGCCGCCGCATTGGATATCGGCAATGGTCAAGTCCTCGACGGGGCCGTTACCCTGGACTTCGCGGGAGATCCTGTCGGGGGTCGGGCTGGTGTAAGGGTCCTGGTACGGCTGGTAGAAGGTGTACTGAGTGCCGCCGATGGTGCCCTTCTCGACGTAGCCGTGGGCGGCCACGAGAGCGGCGGAGGAGACGAGGGATGCCAAGAAACGCATTGTTTCTTCTTATTTTGGGGGGGGGGTGGGTTTGCGGATTCAAAAATGACCTCTCAAAGGTTGATGTTGTGGTTATAAGTGTATGTACAATCTCCTCCAGGGACGACGTAGAGAATAAAAGAATGGGTTGGGGTTTTTCGTTTGTGAGACGATGAAGGCTATGATCGGCTGGAATAGTCAAAGAACCGCCTCGTTATATATGTTTTCCATCGATATGGTAACCGCGTTGCCCCGAAACAAGACCCCAGAACGGGACGTGAGACTCCGTGACGCAAACCTTCTTCGTCGAAGCTTGGCACACATGGCTAAGCGAGCGAGAAAGAGAGCGCCAAAAACCAGGAAACTGTTCTGCGTCGTCTACGTATGCCGCTTGACAGTGTCTGCATGAGGGATGCCAAAGAAGTTTCAGGTCGGAGAGTGGACCTCCGAAGCGCCCAGGTTGCGCGATCCATTATCCCTTTTTTCCCCAATTGAAAAATAATCCGTACAGACCTGGCAGATCGCAACCCATGCATAAGCCTGGCTCATCAGGAACTGGAGGGTGGCAATTGGTCGAGATCAGTGACCCCCAGAACCCGCACGGTTCTTTGGATGCCTCGGAGATAGGGGGCGCGCCCTGAATTTCGGGAAGCCTGTAACCAGTTTTAAGTCCCATACGATGCTGGGCAAGGGGTTCCTCAAACACGGTTATTGTGGGTATGAGATGAACCTGAGACAGAAGTCGATAAGATCAAACGGAAACCAAGCGTTCATGGGTTATTCAACCCCGCGAGAGGGAAAAAGGTAGGCTGCTACTAGGTCCATCAACTGACCGACCCGACGGATCTTTTCCTTGCCGGAAAGAAGGCCGTTTATAATCCCGTCTCTTCATGATCACATGGGCAGGCAGGTTGCCAGCCAGCCCGAGGAGAGCGGCTCACTTGTTGTGGAAACACGGAGCTGGAGGCGCTGGATTGAGCAGCCAGTGGGGCCGCCCGCGGAACCGATCCTCCGAGACAAAAACGGAGATCCAAGGCTGGCGTTTTGGGATCTTGAATTACCTAACAGTACGGGAATTTGCTTCCCCATGGCCTGGGGTTGGCTCTTTGGAACTTGAGATGGGATTAAATCAACCTCGTGCCTTGCTCGACAGGCTGCATTGGCCTATCGTTGGTGTTTCCACCAATAGGCTCGTGGTCGAGATGTAGACTGGGAGGCCTGCGAAGCCTGCAAGGGATATCATCAAATCGGGAAAAAGAACATTGCCAGGATCAGCTTCTCACCTGATTCTAGTCAATCCAGGATAATGAATGTGAGATGGGATGAAAGTTGGCAATTCGAGATATCTTTAGTATCATATCGAGCTGTATAACGCATTTGTATCAACTCGAGGAAGGGATATTAACGGTTTGAAAGAATCGTGATCAGTCTTCAATGAGATATCGAAAACAACTCCCAATGGTGAATGGTGTTTCCTGGTTCCTGCTGCAGCAAATATCGCTTGTGAACTCGGCCCTGGCAATAATAGGAAGGACCCATGCAAGCCACATCATCATCGATCGAATCATGAGAACGCCAGTTGGCTATTCTAGAACAGCAAGAAAGAGCCACTCGTCGCAGCGTGCCTGCTTGGTTAATAGCAGACATCCGGAAGAAACTTCTGATGGGTGGCGAGCCTCACATGCCAATTTTAATAAGACAGGTGCAAATATTGTGCCTATTCATAGAGCTTGGGTAAATTGAGTTTTTTTGCAGACGAAGGAGCGAAGGTAACTAGTACCTGCGATTCGAGGCTTGAGGGTTCGAGTGAAGTGTCAAAGAATGCAAAGTCTGAACACTTGCCCATCAAAGATTGTTCTGGGACAAATCAGAACTTCAAGGTCTCAAACATCCCAGAGGAATGATTTAGCCAAGATACAAAGCTTAATTGAGGAAATACCAACCATACTACCAACCAAATTTTCAATCAGCATGTCTGGAGAATCTGAATTCTAGTCAAGCTCTAGAGCTCAAGGGTAGCTTGGTGCTTATCGATAAGCTTGTCTGCTTGAGCAACCAAGCAGGCAACCAGCCAGGTGGGGGAAAGAGCGGGGCGGCTACAGGCAACCTCGAGAGTGAATCGCCCAAGCTTACCATTATCTTTGAAAGAACATCTCCAGCTTCCAGCTTTCCGAATTCCCCTCTTCCCAGATCGAACCGCCAGTATGTCGCAGGCAGCCTTTGGTGGATGGGGTATGTATGATCATATCGTGGTATTTGCAATTTGTATGGAATCCACAGGCTGACGCTCCTCTTTTCTGTACAGAACTCGACAACAACGTCGAGCTTGTCGATCCGAGACGAGATGGCCTCTACAACTACGATGCTGAAGCCCAGAAGGCCTTGAACCAACAGCGGCCATGGGTTAAAGACCCTCACCACTTCAAACATGTCCGAATCAGCGCTGTGGCGCTAATCAAGATGGCAATGCATGCCAGGTCCGGCGGATCCCTCGAGGTCATGGGATTGATGCAGGGCTACGTTTCCCACGAGACCTTCATCGTCACCGATGCCTTCCGACTTCCCGTTGAAGGAACAGAGACCCGTGTTAACGCCCAGGACGAAGCGAACGAATACATTGTCGAGTACTTGGACCAGTGCCGTGCTCAGGGAAGGCAGGAGAACGTCGTGGGGTGGTATCATAGCCACCCGGGTTACGGCTGCTGGTTGAGCGGTATCGACGTGGAAACCGAGTATATGCAGCAAACCTTTCAGGATCCATTCTTGGCCGTCGTGATTGACCCTGACCGCACCATCAGCGGTGGCAAGGTCGAGATTGGAGCCTTCCGAACATACCCTGCCGACTACAAGAGCACTGACGGTCTAGGAGCATCCGACGGCTATGAGGCTGTGCCTCTCGCTAAAGCAGCCGAGTTTGGTGCCCATGCGAACCGATACTATAGCCTTGAGGTGTCCCATTTCAAGAGCACTCTCGACTCCCATCTCCTCGAGCAGCTCTGGCACAAGTACTGGGTCCAGACCCTCAGCCAAAACCCGCTTCTCACCAACCGTGACTATGGCAACAAGCAATTACTGGATCTTAGTTCCAAGATTCGAGATGCCACGACCAACATCACCCGTACCAGAGGTGGTCAGGGGGGCATGTTTGGTGGTGTCGGCAGCTCTAGGTTAGATAGGACAGTGGCCAAGTTAGCCCAGGACACCAACCAGATTGCCAGCCGGGAGAGGACGGGACTTACTGCCACAGAGGTCAAGGCGAAGCTCTTCAACGATCTTGTGAGCAAGAGCTGAAAGCATAGCTGCCTGGTCATATGAGGTCTACGCATTATGATTTCTTGCTCATCAACTGCCGGCATAGGGTTTCTTTTTGGTTTGATTTTGTGACTTTATATCGGCGTTGGGAATGGACCAAAGCATTACCATTCACTTAGGTAGAGTAATGATGAAAAAGACTCCAGAAACATTTTGGTTTTTGCTGAACTGAATGAATTCTCCGAACAGCGCGAGCTAACAACTGGCTACAATATGCTTTATTAGGTATGGTCTGTAATGTGCTTTCTATATCAACATCTAGGGAATCTTGAATTCTACAGCTTGGGGGTTACTTTTGGCGACCCGAGGGCCTTCTTCGCCCACGATAACTTGGCGGCAAGCGAAGCCTTGGAAACAGTAGCATCGGGAACCATCATGTCGAAGCAGTGGTACCCTCCCGGCCAGACATGCAGCTCTGTTGGCACGCCGGCCGCGCACAGCTTATGCGCATAGGCCATGTTCTCGTCTCGGAAAATCTCAGCCGCGCCCACAGTGACGTACGCCGGCGGCAGGTTGGACAGATCGGTCGCCCTGACGACGGCCGCGTACGGGCTGACCCGCTCGTGGCCGGCGTTGGGTCCCAGGAACGCGTCCCAGGCCATCTTGTTCACGGCGCCCGTCCACAGACCCTCATCCATGTACTGCTGACAGGAGACGGACTCGGTCCGGTCGTCGAACATGCCCGAGTCGAGCAGCTGGGCGCACAGCTTGGGCCCCCTGCGGTCGCGGGCCAGCAGGGCCATGGCTGCAGCGAGGCTGCCTCCAGCGGACTGCCCAGAGACCATGAGGCGGTCCGGGTCGATGTTCAGCTCCTGCAGGTGGGAGCCGATCCAGGCCAGGCCGGCGTAGGAGTCCTCTAGCGCCGCGGGGAAGGGGTGCTCTGGGGCTTGCCTGTACTCGGCAGAGATGCACAGGCCGCCGACCGCCTGCGCCCAGCTGAGGGGCTCCCTGAGGCCGGAGAAGCGGGTGCCGCAGATCATGCCGCCCATGTGCAGATTGTAGATGGCGGGGCGGGGCGCCTTGCTGGAGTCCTTGGGGTAGAAGATGGAGAGGGTGACGGGGCCATTGGGGCCAGGGACGCTGCGCTCCTCGTGGGTGAAGGGCAGGCCGGCGATGGTGGCCTCGAGGGTGGCTGCGTCGGCCTGGGCTTTGCGGAGGGCTGGGATGATGTCGCGGGACGCGACCAAGGGCGGGAATGACTTGAGGAGCGGGATAAGCTCCGGGTCGTAAGGGGGTTTGGGGATGTTCTGCGCCATGGTGGGTGGTCGTTTTGGGGTGGTCTTCTTCACGAGGGGAGGGGCGCAGATGTTTCAACCAGCTTCTGGAGAGGATTTGATCGATCCTGAGCTGGATATAGGACTATATACACATGAGATAGAGGGCTGGAGTAGAACATTTAAGTGGAAGTGTGTGGAGATAATGGTCCTGCCGGCATACATTGATGCTGTTTCGGCACGCATGGTGAATGGCAAGGTGAACACGGTAAATGGATATATATTCAGCTGGCAGGCATAGATTCGGTTAGAATCATCCGGGAGAGGTGTGCGGTGAGGGGTGGACATTGGTTCCCGAGGGCGAGGGAGGTAGATCGGGTGCCCGTGTCCCTGCAACGAGGGAGTGAGATCCGGATTCATTGTATCGGAGACAGCCATGCATGTCTGGCGAAACACCAAGGTGTGCCCAAGCCTGATTGTTGGCCGGGCAGTGGTTACACGTGCTTGTGTTGCTTGTTTTTGATGTTTCATACACTCGGTGCGATCCGGGTATGTGAAAAAATTTCCCCAGGCTTGAGGTTCCATGGATCTGGGGCAGATTGGCTGGGGAAAAATACTTCCGGATATGCTTATCACTCGTTGAAACCCTGGATGGGATGGTTATGGGGCGCTGGCTAATTAGCGACATTGGGAAATCATGGCTGCCGGAGCCTGTGCTGATGACACTTGTCTTGCTCGTTGTAGCTCATTCTTTATGTTGGAGTCCTTATGATTGGGTGCAAATGTGAAAAGATTTGCTTGGGATTTTGGTTGGTAAACAAAGTGATTGGACTCAAGTTTGAGCTCGCTTGTTCAAAAGACTCCTAGCAAGCAAGTAATAATCTCTACACGGCATTCTCCCAAATATTGATCAGCAACAACCTCGGATTAGTTACTCATTGTAATGTACTGTCTGGCTACCCTGCGAAGTACACAAACATAGGTTGGGGATGGAGGACTGTTGCGTGTGCCAGAACGAAAAAGTTGTTAAAACTGATTGAACTTGTCGCAATGAACGAGGGAAGCCATCACCCAATATGTTGAGTAATTGCAAAGGCGGAAACGAGACTCATGAAATAAAATAACTAGTGGTCGAGTGTCAGATAGAAGTTGCTGGTTGGCAATGCTGGCTGAAAACTTACACTGGCACAGATGAACGGCAAGCCTTTCCACGGATCTGGCAGCCCAACCGCAATGCCAAGCAGATTTTGGATCAAGGGTTCACCGCCTAGCATACCAATTTGTTCAAGGAGAAATACCGCGCTATACAGGGTACCGGTGCATTCTAGGTCAATCCATGATGTTACGAGAGATAGCAGGGCTGAGCGGGCGCCAAACCCGAGGCCGTAAACCATTGTTGCTACAATCCGTTAAAGATGCCATGGGAGAGGCAACAACTCGAATCAAACTTACAAGCAATTAACAAGGGAGAACTTGCAGCAAAGGCAAGAAGTAAGGATCCTACACATAGAAACGATAAACTGGACTTCAAGATACCAAGGCTGAGGATTTGAGCTTCAGGTTTCAAGTAGATGCCAACTACACGAATAAGGGCTGGCATGATGAACAAAAAAAGCAGCAGGTTCACGAGAGCGACCTCACTGATGAGGGCATTGGTCTGCTTTTGATTAGCAAAGAGGAAAAACAAAGCAGATTTTGGGTTTAGCCTGCCCTGGAAAGCTTCCAGCCGAATCGAACGGATGTATATTGAATAAGTGCGCGTAAAGAAATACCTCTGAGCGTGCCGATCAGGAAAATTACAGATGCCAATCGCATTTTACCAGTTGAGAAGATGAATTTGAGGATTTGGAACTGATCGATTGTGGCGGAGAGAGCTATGCGAAGACAGTTACGTCTTACTGGCGGGACATCTGGATGCATACTCTGCTCGTGACTGGTATGCGGTGATTGTGGCGCTGTGTCATATTTTGACATGATCACGAGGACAGGGAACGTCAAGAACAGCAGAATGTAGCTGATGATAAATGGAAGCCAAGGGGAGATGTCAGCAGCGACAGATGCGATTGGAGGACCTATGAGTTCGGCGAAAATGAAACACGAATAGAAGTGGTAGAGGCCGCGAGTTCTATCAACGTGAGCCTAAATTCGATCGGTACCGCCAAGATTGATCATTGGGCTCATACCTTGTCTCTTCGTTGCATGCCTTTGCAACCATTGCGGCAAGAAGCATTTCAGCGGCGTATCTACCCCCTCCTACGAGTAGAAAGATAGAAGACGCCCATACAAGCCTAATAGGCAGCTTGGCGCTCGCAACTATTACATCTTAAGCTTTCTGGTTGTTCAAAGGGATCATATGACTTACTGATGAACAAGGACCATGTGAGGCTCATCAGTATCCCTAGCATGATGATCATAAATACCCCGCGCTGGCCTCGATTATCCGCAAGGCGGCCCATGGGCAATGCAACAAGAATAGCTGAGAGGCATTAGCATCAGCTCGAAGCACGTTTCAATGGGCCATACCGGCAATGGTCTCGAAGGAAGCTGTCCACCCACGGACTTCTGCTAAACTTTGTTGGATTGGTGGAGTTTTGCAAGCATCTGGACCTGGGATCTCTCCATGGAAATGATGCAAGCACAACGAGTGCTCTAGAATAGATACCATGGGCACCGTGTTAATCATCATCGCAAGTTCACATAAGAGCTCTAGCCCGATGCAATACTTGAAGTATGGGGAGAAGCCGAGCCATATATCCAAGATGGCGTTTGGTTTTCGTCGATCCTGGGCCTGGGTAGCGGTGGAAGGCTGTGAGGAAAGCAGCGGAGCATCTTCTTGATCCATCTTTGCTGTATGAAATAAACACTCTTCAGTGCTAGACACTGCCAAGAATGCTTCGATCCCTTTCAGATTGGTCGAACCTTCTACCTTTATCACCTAGAGCTAGAACGCACAAATATCATCGTCACGCCTGATGGCCGTGTAACGGGTATTCTGGACTGGGAGCGCGCCGTCCAGAGTCGTAGGACCTAGGCGAGTAGGAGAAGAACTTGTGTGCGGTACTAGAGGCAGTTTCAATGTTTCGAGACGAGGAGTTGCTTCATCAATAAAACGAGGTAGGCTTAGGTCATGATGAGGTTGTATAACACGAACTTGGCGCGCGCCGCGTCGTGATTTGAAAAACACGTATTGACTAGAATATCCCGGCTACTGCTCCCCGCGCAAAGTTTATGCTTGTGAATTTGCAACATGGCACACATATCCGACATTAAAAGCTCACACCATCTAGAATCCACCAGGAAACATTCTTCATCTGACATCAACGCCCGTCATGGCTTCTCCGAATCCATCGTTTCTAGTAGTGGACAACATCTCATACCTACTGCACCCGCAACCTCTGGTAAGTTGTATTGTTAAATAACGTGCACAAAATAACAACTAACCTCCGCTCTTACTCAAAGGCAAAAATAGTCGAGCCTTGGGTAAAATCTGATCCCATCCCTGTTGTCTTGTTCACCACCAACGCTGTCGTCCCCTCGGCCACTGAGGTCACAGGAGTCATTCACCGGTTTGCCGACGTAGATGATGTGTACGCTCCTACCTTTGCAGATACTATTGTTCTACAGCTAGACCCGAGTCTCGATGCACAGCGAGAACTTGGTCGATTTAGGGACTCAGGTTGCTTCGAGGCAGTCTACCATGTAGCTCCAACCTCACCACCCAATGTTCTCCCAACGGGGCCATACTTTCTCACCCAGGGAAACATCCACCAAGCATACCGTTTGTACGAAGATGAGCTGGATAGCTTTATATTTGGGGTCATTCCTGAGGATGTCCTAAATCTAAAGAAGTTATTCTCCCCGCATGCCCACCTGCTTTCGGGTTTTCTTCTAACAACCTTATGCTTAGGTACTTCCCACTCCCGGCGCTCAGCGAAAATGGGTTATGGAAGAAGATTGCCGTTCCAAGCCGGCTTTACACAGGCCATGGAATACAAACCCACAAACCTCTGGCGGGAGCTCGAATGGGAATCAAGGATATCTTTCGGCTTGAAGGCACTCAGTTGACTATGATGAACAGGCCCTGGACTGAGCTTTACGGACCAGATGAAGAGAGCGCCGCGTACACTAAGAAGCTAATTGCTCTTGGGGCCGTTATTGTAGGAAAAACGAAGATGACTTCTTTTGCATCGCCGGAAGAAGCTACAGACCAATGGATTGACTTTCATTGTCCGGTCAATCCGCGCGGAGACCGCTACCAGAGCCCCTCAAGCAGTTCTACAGGCGCCGGCACTTCTCTTGCTGGCTATAGCTGGCTGGACTTTTCAGTGGCTGGAGACTGTATGCTGATACCATATCCTATATCTTACCTTGGGATTTCTGCTCATTTTTGTGATACAGCTGCCGGAAGTGTACGAGCACCAGCACCTTGTAGCGGGCTCTTCTCGCTGCGACCCAGCTTCAACTCGACATCAATGAAAGGGATACCAGTCAACTCTCCGTATGTACCCAGTGATGTTACACCTCTCCCTATCTCTTCCTTCCCATTGTCTCTACTTTGGCTAACTCCCCAAAACAGAGAGTTTGATACTGTGGGCCATTTCGCTCGCAACTTGAGAGATCTTCATTATATCGTGTCACATACTTTTGAAAACATACCTCGGAACTCCTCAAAATTTCCTTCAAAGATCCTTTACCCACTGGAATTCTACCCGCTGAAAAATTCAAAGCAACAAGACCTAACTGAAGAGTTCGTTGTTGTCCTCGAAGAATTTCTAGGGGTGAAGAGAACTCCTTTTAGTTTCGTGGAGGAGTGGGGAAAGAATCCCCCCAAAGAGGCTGAAGGCTTGCCATTGCTCAAGTATACTGAAAAGGTGTGTTTACAAAAATCCCGTCCCTGATTCAGTTGCTAATCGATCAAACCAGAGTGCATTCTGGGCACTATGCTATGACTACTATCACGGATTTGATGTCTTCCGGGATGACTACAAAGCAAAATTTGGAAAAGATGCTTTTGCCAGCTCAGTCGTTCGGTTCCGGTGGTTAGTCTCCCGCTTTCCTGTTACTATCTCTCATTGACGAATAAATCAGGGACGTTGGGAAACAGGTCACCCCCAAAGAATACGACGAGTACTTGAGGCAGCTGGAAGTATTTCGAGAGTGGTTCAGCAAGCAGTTTATGCGTCCAGATCCAGAAAGCCTTTCCAGCGCAATTCTCGTGATGCCATATGGGGAACCAGACCCGGAATATCGCGACGAACCAAACCCGTAGGTTTGGGCCAAACATTTCTTTTCGGCTTGTTTTGACAATTTCTCGTAGTCCAGCTGGAACCTTTCCTACTATAACGGAAAAGTTTATATCTCCTATCCTGCATGCCCCTCAGCTCGTGCTGCCGTGTAGGTCACATCGTCCTATGCTCCTTGCCACAGATATGCTAATCAAGTTTCAGTTGCCCAAATGCCATACTTCTCAAGAATCAGCGGAAGAGATGAACTGAGGCCCATAGCAAGCACGTTAATCGGAGCCAAAGGTACGAGAACAACGTTGAAGAGGATAGTGAATACGAAATTAACTACATATAGGGAGTGATTTGATGCTCATCAAGCTTGCAATTGCGGCCTTTGAGAAGGCTTCATGGCCTACCACCATTCAAACTGGTCGTTACATGTACCCTCTTGCTAGCAACTCGAGGAATGTGGAGTCGTCGGTCAACGACAGTTCTGGGACCTACCAAAGGAAGCAGAGTGACCTTGAACAGCTTTGCAAAGATCTAAGCTAAGGTAGTTTAGGGAGCTCGATCGCAGCTCCTTCACGCATGTAGAATGTTCCCACTAGTGTTTGCAAGATGGCAAGGCAGACCGCTTGCGTAATTCATTGACCTATAATTGAACGTGCGGTGGCCCGGTTGTGACTATAAGTATTTCAAGAATCAATATGTTATGTGATGATGTTGAGACCTGCCTCAATAGGGTCCCGCGATACCAGACGTCGCTGAGGCATGTGAATAGAATTTCTCCTTGATTATTTGCTGCCTCCTGGAAATTCTATCCTTCCAGATACTAGAATTGCAGTTCATTTGCTCAAGCTTGCCATATCGAAGGTTTGGCCAACGGTCCCCCATGATGACTTATTAGTCGCAATGACATTAGGCGAGGATATATAAGGCAATTTCGAGTCACGTTTGTGTTTATTTTGAACCATAATATATCCTATGCTGGGGGTTTTCAAGTACTAACGCTGTCGCATAACAATCAAGTTATCTATTATAATAGCATTTTGGGAAGCGAATACCTCGCTCTTCGTTATAATAGAGCCCATTTACTGGCTTAGTTTATAAGGTAAATTTTATTAAGTAATATTTTATCCTTCAGATCTAGCTCCTCGCCTTACTTCCCTCTCGGCTCCTTCAAGGCGTTTGACTCTGTGACAGGGGTGGGAGGAATGCGAAAGCCAGGCCCTGGAGAAGCACGCGACATGACCGGCTTTTCTCGTCAATTGGCTTTTCTGCTATCGGCCGAGCTAGATTGGCTTGACGTCATCTTAACGTGGTGTTGAGTCTGCGATCGGCAATGAAGAAAGGCCCATCGAGGCACTAGCACAGTAGACTTGCGCCAAAAGCAGCAGCATGCAGTTGGCAGGCATCGACAAAATCAAGCTGCATTGGGCGATTTTGCCAGTGATTCCGAGAGATGTCCAGGTCGATCATGTTCTCGATAATCGGTGAAATGGTTGATTCAGGGACAATGGTTGACACGGGATTGCTTCAAGGGTCGCGGTAGTGGTTTTTCTGCATGCAACCATGTCATTGATGTATCATGGGTGCCCTGGCTGGTATCCCGCTTGCTCTGCCCATTCAATTGTACATAGTAGATGGCTTGACGACGAACCCTGTGAAAGTTCCCGTGGAATGCTAATTGGGAGGCAACCGGCAGGATTTGAGATCGAAGCGCCAGGGACTAAGAATAGGCGATTGGATACGCCCTGCCTTGTAATTTCGAGGATCCTTCACCCTCAAACATCCCCAAGCCTGTCTCACACAAAACAAGGCTTCTGAGACTCGGGGGCTGGAGTTGTACAATTGATCATCACGACCCCCACAAAAGACTGGTTTCGTGGCACGTCGCAGGAGTGAATTGGCCATTGGGCAATGCGTAGTCTATGAGCAATCGATCCAATATTGGCTGATGGCTGCAGGCCAGACCACCACCTCAGTGGCACCACCACACATAGTGTCTGTTAGCTGCGATGGGCTAGCGGCTAGTGATCGTCGATCTTCAGCTGAACCAGCCTTGTGCAATTTGACTTCATGGGCAACAAACTCGATCGATGGCCTGCAGGCATCAATGGGCAGCAGGGAAGGACTGCGCTAGCTGGGCATCAGGGCATTTCGCAGTGCGTGTCGGCCCACTGCGCGCCGTCTAGCAGCTCGCCAGGGAGCTCTACCGGCACTATTAGCACTGGCAAATTAAGCCTCGGAGGGGCGTTTGGGGAGGAACTTCGATGACGCATTTGAGACATCACCCGAAGCAGGAGCTGGTGGTCGTGCTTGCCTGTACGCGGCCTGTACGCGCTGGCACATGTCGAACGGCAGAACAGGCTTGTGGGTGTCATCCATCCCCCCATGTCATCTCACCTTTTCATCTCTGCCGGCTGCCCTCAGAGCAGCACAACGTCACTGACGCCACACAAGCTTCCTTGGCGGCTGGCTCCTGTGGTTTCCCTTCCCGGTTCGCTGGCCCCTGCTTCCCCTCCTCCCTCCGGCCCAATTGGCCCCTGCCTCCCTTGTGTTGGCTTTGGTCTGGCTTTGGGAATGATATAAGTATGGCGACACAGCTCGGTTGCGCCGACGGGTACGTCTTCGGACCTTTCTTCATCATAATTTCTCTTGTTTGAGCATTCCGTTCTCTCTCACCACATTATACCCGCAGTGATACTGTACAAGCAAACAATATCTTAATTCCTTTGATACCCAATTAGTTTGAAGACCACCCTCGATACCACCAATCCATAGCCCGGGATCTCTCTGCTCCCTGCTATCTCTAATACACGCGGCCAATTTACAGCATCGCACATCATGGCCGCCAACGTCAACCGCCCCGTAGTGAAGGAGCAGAAGGACGCAGATGTCAACCGAAAGCTCCAGATTTACGGCATCATCTCTGCTTTTAAGCATGGCAAGGTTCCATCGGTATGTTTGTTGTCGCCCGGGAGGCTTCTCGTCTGGCAGCAACTCACCCGTGGAGAGTTTGCTATATGACTGGGCCACCCTCATCTTCCCTCTGTATTTACTAACTGCGAGCTCCGCAGAACGACCAAATCGACGTAGCTCTCAACAGTTTCTTGGAGTCACAAGCTCTATCCAAGCCCTCAGAGAAGCTTTCCGCAGATGGCAAGCTCCTTGTTCAGGACCTCAAAGAGGTTGTGCAGCAGTCCAAGAACCTTATACTGTCCAAGAATCAAGGAGATCTGATTCAGGACTTTATTTGGCAAACCACCCAATATGAATACAAGAGCATCACTGCTCCTGGCGCTCCAGTGGATAAGGACACTGCCAAGCGAGATGGAGACGAGGCTCTTAAGGGATTGAGGACTCTTGGAACCCTCATTATCACCAACGGCCAGTTCCGAAAGCTGCGTAAGTCAATTAAGCACCTTTTGATTCAACTATATGCCCATGATCTAAATTAACACTGCCACAGTCAAGGACTTCTCTATTCTTGTTCGCGATATTGCGGGGGATGCAGCCAGCAATGCTGCAAACAAAGTCCGCCCTTCGGAAGAACAGTTGGGCCAGCTTGATGAAGCTGCCCCGGACAACACCTGGCATGAGAAGCCCGACCTGAGCAAGGATAATCTTAAGAAGCAAGCCCAGAACGTCTATGGTGGAAATGCCAAGAAGGATGCCAAAGATGTCGCTCAAGCCGGCATCCAGGCCTCTAATGTTCAGCAACCCAACCCTCAGCAACCCAACCTTCAGCAATCCAACCTTCAGCAATCCAACCTTCAGCAATCCAACCTTCAGCAACCCAACCTTCAGCAACCCAATGCTTCTGCTGGAGTCGATAGGCAGGCCGTTCAGTCCGCCGTCAGACAGGTCGCTGAAGACAAGGTCGACCAGCATGTTGATGACGAGACCAAGCAAAAGATCAAGGAGCGCAATGCGGAGTATCGTCGACGGGCTCGATCTTACTTCGATAAGAAAATGCCCAAGGAGCGTAAGGATCAGATCATCTTCAGGCTAAAGAAGATGATCCTGGAGTGTCAGCAACACACCGATTACATGGAGGCGATTCAAACCCTGCTCCGCCTAGCTGAGAACTACGGCAGGCATGGGCGCACATTTGGATCCGGCTCGGCTTCCACTGCCAAAGACACTCGGTCGGGCTTTGCCACTGCTGAGGCTGACCTCCGTACCATCATCGAACGTTTTGCCAATGGTACATCCACCGAGGATCTCTGGGCATCGATCGCTCAGATCTACAAGGATGCTGAGCACGACGAAGAGCTTCGCAACTGGTTCAAGACTGTGGACGCTTACGTGCGACGTTGTCTCCTCGAGCAAGGGTACATCCTGGAGGACGAGTCAACCGTTGCGTGGGACCGTCTCTACGACCAGGGCAGGTACCTGCTTCGCGAGAAGTACCGAAGCCACACCGACCGAGTCCTCGATGAAATCAAGTTTGTCGCCAACCAATTCGACGAGGATGCTCAGAACAAGGCTTTTGCTAAGTCTGTGGAGAAGCTCTTCCACGACTTGGGCAACGATGAGTATGGAAAGGCTGTTTTCAAGCCTCATCTTCTCAAGGATTTGACCGAGGTTATCATCCCGGCCGTTTTGGAGAAGATTGCGTACGTTCCCATCCCGCGCATCGAGTACTCTGATCCCAAGATCGACGCTGTCATTGAAAACCTCGTTTTGGAGAGCGACAACTTCATGCCCAATGTCTTTGAGATCGCGAGCGAGAACTATGTGCGACTGGGACGTAAGAAGTTCAGCAATAAGCATAAGCACAATATCGAAGTCAAGGCATCCGGCATCCAGATGGATTTGCGTGATGTTGGTTTCCACATCAAGCGCAAGCAGGGCTTCCCTAGCATCACCGATACTGGTGTAGCCGATATTATACTGCCTGGTAACGGTTTCTCTTTCAAATTGAAGATCTCGTCGGCCGATAAGAAAGACAAGCAGCATTTCTTCAAGATCGACAAAGTCGATGTCGATTTTAAGGATCTAAAGCTGAAAGTCATCAAGTCCAACCACAAGCTTCTTCTTACTCTGTTCAAGCCTCTTGCCCTCAGGGCCATTCGACCTGTGTTGCAGAAGGTTGTGGAAGCAGCTATCAAGCAGCAATTTGATCGACTTGATGCCTTGTTCCATGAAGTGAAGTTGGAGGTTGATAAAATGGTGACTGAAGCCAAGGGAGACCCTGAGAATGCTCCTAATATTTACAAGCGATACTCGACCGCCTTCCAGAAGCGTCTTACGCAACATAAGGAGAAGGCTAAGGAGAAGGCTAAGAAGGCCACCGCAGACAAGAAATTCAACATGGCCATTACAAAGGAGGACAGCATTTTCCCCAATGTCGATTTGCCGGGTGGAATCAGCTCCAAGGCTACTGAGTACAGAGAGCTGGCTCGCAAGGGTGAGAAATGGGAAAGCCCAGTGTTTTCGATTGGCACCGCAAAGCACAGCACCGGCCTTCCATCTGCTCCAAAGATCGAACGCAAGGCTCACCCAGCGACAATCGGTCATACCAACGGTCACACCAATGGTGCAACTCACACTAATGGTGCAACCAATGGTCACACGAACGGGGCAAGTAACATTCCTCGCAGCGCCAACCTTGCTGGGGGCGGCTCTTACAAGCCAACTACCACCGAGTTCCTCCCACCTCAGGTTGCTTCCCAGGCTGCTCCAACTCAGGCTTATCCTACCCAGGCTGCTCCAGCTCTTCAAAACTATTAGAGACGTGCCATTGAAGCTGCTGAACATATGCGTGGCATAGCACAGTCCAACAAAGATGGCTTGAAAAGCTAGTTCAGACTCAGCTTTACACATCTATTGAGTCCTTTTTTTCTCTTGCGTTAGTGTTTGGCTCTGGTTACTTAAAACACCTGTTTTGGTTTTGATGATACCAAATTTCTTTTTGACGAGTAGGTAGATGACCGGTTTAATGAGGCAGTCATAATACCCGTGCTCTAACATTACGATTCTTTTCTTCTCTAATTCCAATTCTTCTATTCCTTTTTATACCTCGACGTTTCTGCTGTGTTCGTTTCTTCTTTTCAGTCATGTTCTAGTCTTTCGCTGTGCTCCGCATTTGACCGTACAGGAGTAACACTAGTTACCCCCCTGTGTCTGGTAAATTGGAAAAGAGTGGACGTCTTCGCTCCCGTAGTTATAACTTACTAGACGATAGCTACGCACGAACATGAAAAGACTTTATCTGCCTGTCTCAAAACACATTCGTACCTCAGGAACCATAAATGTGCCATTGTGAATCAAAATTCTTAAATATCATTAACTCATCCTTCAAGAAACGTTCACATCCTTTGCAAGGAATGAACATTTGTGAAATTTGTGCCTCAGTGCGGCCGTCGATTATGGACGTCTGTAAGCCGCTGAAAGAACTATGGGTTGAGAAGGAAGAATTTACCTGGGTCTGTTGCCAATGGGTGGTCCAAAGTCCCCAAGCTCTGTCACTGGCCCCTGTATCCAGTGTGAGAAGCAGAAATTGCCACATCTGGCTGTATACTTGCACGGTTAGGCTTTCAAATATCGAAGTGAATCTGTATTAACAAATAAAACAACAACCTAACCGTCGAGCCATCTCAAGCAGCACACATTTACGACAAGACGATGGACTCCAAACAGTTGAAAGAGAAAGCGCTTGATAGTAATGTGCCAACACTGGCTCCGCATCAGAGATTCGCTTGGCGTGGTAGGATCACGCATTTGGGCATGTTGCTGCTCTTCGTCGGGCATCTACTTTGGTCACATCAGCCCTCTCTTGAGCGATAGCTTGATGTGCTTTTAGATCGGCCATCATCACTCCCGCCTACACCGCGCGAAATGAAACGCATGCAAGAAGTTGCGGATCTTGTAACGGACCTCTATGAGACGCTCGCGGAGATGCGCTACATCGAACCAGCTGATATCAAACGAGGGCCGCACAATATCACACTACCCGGAGACACCATGACCGGTAGCTTTAACCACATTGAGCCTGCCATCGTCTACCTCTATTCCATCCTACCATACGTTGAGGATAAGTTTAGCGGGCACAGGAACTTCTTTCGAGGGAGTTTCTTTCTCGATCTCCGAAGAGACCGACACATAAAACAGAGCCGAGACCCATTTCAAGTGGTTCCGAATACTGACTGCGAATTCAAGACGAAAAATGGGCCATACATGCCTTCCTGGGTCACTCCACTATCTATGATAGGGACGCGTCCAATCAGTATCCTCTACAATGCCCGCCAACACAGAATTTGGATCCTCAATGTTGAAGAGCACCGCAGCGCCGACCTCGCACTGGAAGGAGTCGAGCCCTCGTCGGCCCGAGGCATCAACAACAGGTGGGCGTTCGACCAACTGCCCAGCCGACCGGCGCCCGACGTCCTCAGGGACATGAAGCAGTGGTTCCGTGAATTCAAAGTCTTCCCCGATAGCCTGAGGAGCAGCGGTGGTGAAGGAGATTGTTTCGAAAACACGGATGGCCGGACACCTTTGATAGCAAGGCCTTCCAGGTGGAGCGGGTGAGGAATAACTCGGCGAGGCTGGCGGCCTGGCACGCGGAGGCGCCCCTGAGGGTGCTGAAGAGGCTCGGGGAAGATGAGAGGCGAGTAGCACGCTGGAGCGCTGAGCTGTGGCTTAAGAATAAGTATGCTCATATGATAGGTGCCGAGAAAGAATGGGACGGGCTCTTCTTGATGTGGCTTGCGATTAGCGAGGCCCCGTATTTTGCAAATGAGGTGGGCGAGGCAATGAAGGTTGCAGATCAATATTGCCCATGGGGCATCGGCTGCCAGATGCCGGAAGACCTGCCGGTGTGGGAAATGGAGACTGTCAGATTCATCGCGGAAGACTGGAGAGCGGAGGTTGAGCGCTTGGGATTATCTGCCCCGGTGGACGAGACGGCTCTCCAGGTCGCCCAGCTCAAGCTTGCGCAGTGCGAGGACGCTCTCGAGGCGTCCCGTGCCGCGACGAAGGATCTACAGCCGAAAGGTCCCGTCAGGGCGCAGCTGGAGTACGCAAGGCGGAAACGGGACATCGACTACCATTCCGTGCTGCTACAATTTAGGAAAAAGGAGTTTCCTTTCATAGCTCGGAATTGGTCCCTTCTCCCAGATGTCCAGGCTCAGGCAGAGGAAGCCATTGAGAGGAGACAGGCTGATCTAGACTCGTATTTGGAGAGCGAGTATGGAGCGCCACCAAGCCAAGAGAGAGAGTATACATTCGGGGTGGACATGGATGTATTCATTTATTGGGAGATAGAGGACGAATTCTCTTGGGATATGGAGGATGATGTTTCTAAGTAGGTGATGGAGGACTGAAAGCACGAGTCCAGACCTTCAGTTGGGACATGTACATCATTTTGGTTTCCACCTCCCCCATCATTTCTGATATCCTATTGCTTCGGACTTTGTAGTTTAATTAAGAAGTATGAGAAAGCATTACCTGGTTTGACAGAGGATTCTGTTATGTCGTGCGTCGTAAAGCTTTGGCACTAGCATGTAACTCTTTGTCTGGTTATATGCTGATATTAAAGGGATTGACTAATAATCGCTGCTGTATAATTTCCTTTGTAGTAGTCTTTTTATGGTGTTGGAAAAAGCAAGTTGGTCAGCCAAGGTTGAGGACGTTCTCTCAGCTCTAGGGTAGCGCGTCATGCATAGCGGTTCGCTTAGTGGCGATCATCAACTCCGTCACTGACTAGGTCACACTCCTGATTTTTTGAAGGTGACACAGCCAGCTCACATTCATTTGGTTACTGCTTTCCCAGCTCCAACCTCTGTCTGAGGAGCTGAAGCTCATGATACATCACGCATTTCTTTCTTGATACACAGTTCTTGTCCAGGTGTTTGGGCGGAGCTGTTGAGTCTTGACAACTTGACAACCCCGCCTATGATCCTCTGATCGAGGGCCCAGTTATTCATCACCATCATGCCCGCCTCAGCCACTCTTACATCTGAGCAACGGCACGCCCTGTTTGACATTTTATCGCACAGCGAGACGTATTCCGAGATTGAAAACTTCAAGTATCCCGACGGCGTCACCGGTTATGGCTTCCCCTTCAGCAGTGAAACCATCATCCCCCTTCCTCCGGGGCGGAGTGCCTCCACGACGCCTGCTGGTTCGGGACGCAACACCCCTCGGTCGCGCTCCAGGACCCCTGTGCCTCCTGGCGAGGAGAAGAAATCCACGGAGGCTGGAGCGGGGACCAATGGCGAGGTAGACGGCGAGAAGGACCGGCCGCCTTCGACCTCCCCCGTGCTGCAGACGCTGTTCACCAGGTTTGCGCTGCGGCTGCCCTGGCTGCGAGAACTGCCTCGGGACTTCTGGTCGGTCAAGATTCAAGGAATCTTATCGAAGCTTGCCGAGGCGGAGTTATCTGAGAGTTATGACAAGGGTGCGCTGGGTCTCCGGAAGACACTGGCGACGGGGTCGAGTTCTCTTCTTGAGATGCTGGGAAGGGGCGCCTTGGGGGGACTGAAGAAGCAGACTTTTGCCTCCAATGGCGAGTCTAAGAAGGAGTATGACCTGCAAAAGGCCGAAGACCTGGAGAGGGCGTTTGATGAGATTGTGCATGGTCTCGTCTATGGGGATCTCGTTAAGAAGATGTGCGACCATATGGTTGAGACGGACGATTTGGAAGGCTTCTCACCCGCCTCGAAGGCTGCTGTGCAATATGCCATCATCTAGTAAGTCAATAACCCCCCCTTATCTGCCACGAAGCTCTAACCGCCTGCTACTACTTACAGCGCTGCTACATTCTTGCACCAGATCTTTGTCCTGTCGCCTGAAGGCCAGTACCTCCTTCAGTTGATTCAGAACCTCCACAATCTCGTTCCCTACAAGATGGTCAAACAGACGTTACGCATAAGCAACGTGGCGACTATGATCAACGGCATGACCAGACTAATGCTGGCCAAGGTCAGCATCGGCGGCATCACCAACTACTTTGGATTGACCACCAATGCCGATGACGGGATGAACCTTTTCCAACGGATAATCTCCCTCATCCTCTCCTGGGACGCAGCCGAGTTCCGCAAGACGGCGGAAAAGGTCGAGAAGAGCAAGGCCAAGGATCGGCCGGACGAAGACATGCTTAAAACCATCAGGCAGTTCATTGATGAGAAGAGTCGCATGCAGCACGAGGCGGCGCGGGCTATAAGCATGCACAAGAGGCAGTCGATCATCACAACGATTCTGACGGAAAACGACGCCGATCCGACAGAGGAGCAGCATGCGCAATGCCTGGAATACTACTCTGCCCTTCTCTCCATCCACGACCGTGATGGAATCACGGCGGCTCTCTGTCGACAGCAGCCAGACCTGTTTTCGCAAGTGGTGCGGGATGTGGTGCACATCTACGAGCCCTTTATCAGCATGGTTCACACAGGGGTGGATCTGAAGGAGTACTTGGATGGTGTGCAGGTATTCATCGACGAGTTCATCAAAGCGTCGAAACCAAAGACGGATGCAAACGGAGAGGTGCGGCCGGCAAGCGTGGAGGACTACGTGGAACTTCTGAGGAAGAACAGAGGGTTCCTGTACACGTGGATTCATGACGTCGCGAGCAAATGCCCCGGGGTCTGGAACGAGCTGGAGGCGTGGGCAGTAGACTCGTTTGCCAAGTTCCAGCAGAAGCCGGCGCAGCAGCCCTCTGACGGCGACAAGTTGGATGATGAGAAGGATAAAGACAAGAGTGATATGGACGCTCGCCTGGAGAGCCTCTTCCAGTCGCTGCCTGAATCGACTCAAAAGGAGGTCCAGGCAGCCCTCGACGCCCAGGCCAGCTACCTTGCCAACCTCACGGAAATCTCGAGGGAAAGCTTTCAACACCTTCTGGATTCCACGGCAGACTCAGAGTCCGAGAAGAACAGCCAGACCGGCCCTGGGAACTATCTCCACCGGTGGCACGCCCTACTAGACGAGACCGACATCACGCCGGAAAACGTTGTGGGGCCGGTGAGAAAGGGTAAAGATGTCAAACACACTCTGGCATTAGGCAAGACCAGCATTATCGGAAATAAGCAAGAGGTGCCGCCTGTGCCTAAGAGGGCGGCTGGTCCAGTTGCGCCCGATGTGAGCGTCGTTGTCGGTGAGATGGGGCCCGGGTTTTTGAAGATTCTACAGGAGATTGGCGGGCCAGGCAAATAGAAGGTTAAAGGGGTATCTCTAAGCGGGGTGTTCGTCGTGATTTAGCTGGTACCAGATGATCATACATACACTGCATACTAGCATCGGGCAGTGATGGAGTTTTGAACAATGTAAAAGAGGCATAGAATTAGACGTTTGATTCTGGCCTAGGTGAGCTAAGAATAGAAGGAAAACGTTGCAGCAATACCATGATTGATCCTATACTATGAAGCTGAGCAACAGCAAACCTCCCCAGATTAAAATAAAAAACACTGAAATATCCCTGCAAGTAAAGTTATGGCGGAATGCCTATTGGTAGATGGAAAGAATGACTGAATAGAACAGGCTCGGATCTTGACGATGGCAAACGGACTCAAGTAAATGTTCTGTTTTAGTTCCGTCTTAGAATGGCGATGGAGCATCTAGCCATCCGGTTGTCATCTCCTCATCCTCCTGAATGATTGTGTCCTCGGTAGCTTTAGAATAATACGTGACAAAGGGAAGTGTGCCCCGGGGAGCTCTTGTTGGCGTTTCAATGACAGCATCCTGATGCCCCGCTCTCCATTCCTTTTGCTGGGATGGTGGGGGTGTTCGCAGAGAAAGACTCGATGGAATACTCCCGTTAGAAGAAGATCCATCTTCTGACAAAGCTTGATCCAGAGGCATCTCGGGGGATTGTGGGGTTAAGGGTGGGCTGATGGGCTGAACCGATGTTCGCTTCAAAATTGGTGTAGAGTGAGGAGCCCGGACCGGTCTTGAGCCTAGTATTCTCTCTATCGACGAGACAGGCTGCCCGAGGAGAAACTCGGGTTCCTCAGTTACCTCTGTGGCAGGCAGGGGCTTTCTGACGCTGGCCGTTGCTGGAGCCCCCCGGTGGGCTTTCATTAGTCGAGCGAGGTCTACAATTGCGGTCCGCGCTGGAGTGGCTGCCTCGCCGAACTGGCCTACACAGTATGCCAGGCCGCTCACATAGTCATCCACTCTATTGTCGTTGTTATCAGCAGGCGGCTCCGGGGTTGCCACGGCCGGGTCTGCCGTCAGGTCGACCGTAGGCATGGGTTCGCAATCATCTCCCCCAGTCAGGTCGATGGCAGATGGATCAAGCGTGAGATCGATAGTCATTATCTCGTCTTCATCTTCTTCCACGCAGCCATCATCGTCAACCTCGATGTCGGGGTCTTCATCCACATCTATGACCATTTGTTCGTCGACAGTGGTTGATTCTGGTTCCGTCACTGCAGCCCGCCTCTGAAATAGAGAGTAAGGCCGCTTCTTCCTCTTCGGATATTCTTTTTGGGCCAGTCTTTCCTTCCAACACAGTTTCATGGAGATACCAGTGATCTCTTCGAGGGCCTGGGCAAACAGCCCGCAGCGTGCACAGTTCTTGCGCGAAAAGTAAATCTCGAATCGCGGCCGGCTCCTATCCGTACAAGACGCAGTCTTCAGCTGTTCCAGGTGGCGTCTGGTCACATTGTTCAGGTCGTCGGTGATGCCGAAGAACTCCAGCATGGCAAAGATTGCATACGTCGCCAGCTTGACCTCGACATGGCCCCCCTGGTAGACGCCCCTCCGAGCGAGCCTCTCCTGCACGGTCATGGTGCGCGCTCCTGGATTGTCGAAGGGCGAGGCGAAGGCTAAACCCAAGAGTTTTGCAAGGTGTATCCCTCTCCGGGTCCATATGACATTAGGGAGAGCAGCACCTTCGTGCCCTTCGCTTGGGGCGTCCAGAATGTCTCCCATCTTCCCGCATCCGTGGCCGCTCTCGGACCAAGCGAGGATCATCCTTTGCTGGCTCCCCACTAGGGTGAGGAAACCGGTTGTCTTATTCGTGAGGATGTTGTTGATGTGAGCGCGGCTTGCTATCTCCTTCGCCCTCTTGTGGCCAAAGGTGAAGCCCAGATTGGGGCCCAGGACCTCGACAGTCAGCGTCGCTTCGTCGGGGTTCACGATGTGGTGGAAGTAAAAGACAGGGTTCGCGATGCGGAATGATGGCGTGAAGTCTAGCAACTCTTCGTTTGTATTGACATCTAGAGACATGTTGGCCGTCTCGTCATTAAAAATAAATCGGGTAGCAAAAGTGAGGAATCAATTTTGGTGTTGGCCTTGTTGACGAGTTGCTTGATCGGGGCAGCTCGTGCGTTGCTCCTCAACTGTGGTAAGTGCATTAGTGAATGGATGTTGCCTGAGAACAATATGCCAAACAACATATGCAAATATACACACCCTTGAGTAAACTGACAATTCTCGAGATACAGGTAGAGAACACACAGATGAGATTGAGTAATGAGACACCTAGTTCAAGAGTGAATAAAGGTAAAGCTATCCATGGTGATCTGCGTAAGAGAAAAGTGAGGGCATCACCATATTCGTGGCTGGCTCCAAGTAGCTGAGCCCGAGGGAAATCTGAAGAGGTTCTGAAGACATTCTGTGACGGACTCGATGCATGAGCTAGCTAAGCTCATCGCTATAGTGTTGGTAAGTCATTGGCAATTCTCACTTGAGTTGTCGAAGATCTGCCTTCCACCAGGAGCCGAAGTTGCAACTTACTACTTGGGTTGAGCCATAACTCTCAATGACCCACAAATTCGGTGGATGTTACTTTTCCTACGAGCCAGCCCACACACGACAGATAGTCTCATTAAGGACAGGACATCTTTCAATGCCATAAACAGAGCCCACAGTCAAGACAGGTATCACAGAAGGAGCAAGTTTTTAGTCAACATGGACGAGTCCAATTGAGCAAACAGAATGAACCCAAATCAGGGGGAATCTCATTCATATATGCCGAAAAAATCTAAGACCGTACGCCCAAATTGTTCACGTGGGTCCCTTCCCACGAAACTTTTTTGCACCCGCGTTAGAAAATGCCGTCAAGTTCATATTTACTCGTCATCCTCATCCTCCTCCTCAGCCTCAGCAGTGGTCTGGGCGATACGGTCCAAATCACGCTGGCCGGCCTGGGTGATGCGGCGGCCACCCTTCTCCTCGTCCTGCTCAACGACGCCGATCTTCTCAAGGGCCTGGAGGACCTTGCGGTCTACGGAGCCGGAGGCGTCGTAGTGGTGAGAGGGGCGGTTGCCACGATTCTTGGCGGTACCGTGGACCTTGCGAAGACGGCCGACACCGACGGTCTTGCGGAGGTATACGTGACGGGCGATGGAAGCAGCACGGACGTAGAACCAGTCAATGTCCAGAGGAGGGAGCTCCTTGGCGTGACCAGTCTTGACGGTGTCAACCCAACCTTGGGGACGGTCAGCGGTCGAGTTCGATTATGGCGGAAGAGGGGAAATGTTCCAAACTTACCAGGGATGGGCAGCTTGCCCTGACGCTTCAGGAACGCAGCATAGGCGTTGATGAACTTTTGCGCCTGATTGACAAATACCCATTAGCATGATTCCGTCTTCAGAAGTCTTGCGACCCCCTCGCGCCTGCTCCTCCATATGCCATTTCTAAAAACGAGCGTCTCTCTCACGCCCGCTGCCGGATTGCAGCAATTGCTATTCCTCGTTGCTCAAGCGCAAGCATCGCTGCAATCGGAAGCAGCGGCGGTGGTTCAGCTTCATCTTCGGATTTGAAACAATAAGAGTCGGGTGTCGTCTCGAGGGGTCGTTGTGGGATCGAGGAGATTTTTCTGGATTGTGTGCTGTGCATGCTCATCGGCATCTTCAAGGTGAACCTACATCAACATCGCGAACGCCAACTCCGCCAGCCATTTTTGCGGTATTGTTTGAAGAGGTGGGTGGTCGGGGAAAGGATGGGTGCTTGGTGCGTTTGGTGATGGTCGAGTCGTGAAGTTCACAAAAAGTTTCAGAGAAGTTGGTGGTGGACAAATTCGTGCACTTGCCCTTGTGTGGGGCCACAAACCCTAGAGTGGATTCTAAAATTGTGACCTATCAGAGATCAGGCCAAACCAAAGACTTGTGGGTCGATAATTCGGCCGGGTACCACGCCTACCTAATCCTAAACAGGTAAGCATGCTCAAAACTAGGTACCTACCTAGGTAATCATCCTCCACCGAATTCATAGTCCCATATGAGGTCGCTTTCAGCGATAAACCTCCGGGACGGATTTCTCATACTAACCAGATCTCCTGCTCCTGTAATCTCAGCTTCTCCTGCAGAACCAATGAATTGGTAGCTTCTCCGTCCATGAAGCCATGTACATAAGCGTATGTAACAATTTCCAAATGTTCCTTGACTCCTTCTGTTGGACGAAGTACCAGTGGCATCTGACAGCCATCCAAACACGCGATGATGTCCCCCTCCCTAGCTGGAGGAGCAAGCATAACGTACAAGCCATTTTCAGTCATGCTAAATGTCCAATTGAAATACACATCATCCCACAACTCGTTGATTTTACGATCAGAAAAGCATGGCTCCTTTACCGAACCTGAGCCATGGGTTTCCATGTCGAGTATCCTCCGAGACCACTCTGCACGCACAATAGCGTCTTCCGATTCGATCTGTTGCGCCGAGAGTCGAATCGTAGGATGTGAATTGCAGTCCATCACCAAAGTGCGCCAGAAGGCCCTGATGCAAGATTCGCCAGTAACGTATTCCTGAGCTGTTGCGTCTGATTCCGTCAGAACCGCCCGGTCAAGGTACAGATCAAGGTATTCCATAGGCAGGCTATCTTTTCTCATAGCTCGTGGCCCGCCCTCGGGGTTAATCCATTCCATCCCCTTTTGGTAATCGTAGTCGGATTGTTTGATCTTTCCCACACGCCCGAGCTTTACACCCTTGGCAACAAGTACCTTGCCGTCGATTACACGGATTGGCACCTCGCAGGAAGGCCGCCCAGATTTATAGGGACAATTGTCTGGAAACAGCCGCCCATACTCAATGGAGTTTTTTTGAAAGTTAGCGACCCAAGAAGGCTTCTCCCCTGTTGGGCTGCTAATGGAGTAACCATAGCCGTAATGAAGCGTGGGGGCTGAGAAAGACCTCCAAGGACCCTGAGATATCACGTACAAGTTCTCATCGCGATTGATGAGTAGCTCTGTCAGATTTGAGAATAATCTTCCAGGGGAGTCTCCGTAGTCGATCTTGAAATCATCCATGTCCGTGGCAAGGTTTATCATGCTGTGAATAAGGTCCCTCGAGTCCGCCGTCTCAACAAAACGGAATTGTTCCATCACTGCTAGCAGTGACTGCTCTGACTGCACTACTGACCCTGCAAGAACATTTCTCATGGTCTGTCTCTGGTGGTAAATTTTGGCGACCATCTTCATCATGAGGGACAATATCCAAACCTTTCCCCAGATGTAGTCTTGCCCATAGATTGTCTTTGCGTATGAAACGTCGCCCAGGAAATCTTCAATTTTAGCCCAGTCCACAACGTGTGAGCCTGCAAAGAGGTGAACTTGCGGCGCAAGACAGATATCCCGGATAGTCCACAAATCCTTCCATGCAGGTGGGGTTTGAAGAGCATTTTCCAAGTCCTGCTGCTGCTCCATGGTCACGAGCCTCGTGACGTGGAGATCAACTTTTGCTTCAAGTTCCGGGTCGGTAATCCCGCCCGCAGCTCGATACGGTCGATACAACTCGAGGCCATACAGCTCTAAATCTTGAAGCAATGAAGGATCCTTGTTGCAGATTCTCTCCATCAGCTGCAGGCCTTTCCCAACATCTTCTTCGCTTGCCGTTGAAGGCTCGCCTGGTGGAGTGAGGTTTGGCCCAAGCCAAACCAACACGCGAACGCACTTCCTCAATATCGTCTTCATAAACCTGATATAAAAGGAGCGCTCAGACAGGGACCGCTGGTCTACACAAATAAAGTCGACCCAGAGATGTCGGGGCTCATTGTGGTAGCGCAACCTACGAAGAGCGGCTCCGACATTCGCCGGAACGAGCACGGCCTCCTGGTCAATGTATATCAGATTCATAAGTTTGGAGCTCTCGCGCACGTAAGACAAAACTTCGAAAGGAGTTGCATCATTGAAGTCCGTTCTCTGTATGGAGCCTTCAATGGGGGAATCTATATCATCTGAAGGCGAGAGTGTAAAAAGACGAAATTGTTGGGAGTGAAAATCCAAAGGCCTTTCCAACTCCTGCGTCATTTCATTAATTCGAGGTGTCGACGAGAGAAACGGAGGCAATTCTGGTGATGGATTTATAGACATCTCCTTCGGGATAACTCCAGAAGAAAACAAGTGCTAGGTGAGGGTGTTGCTCATCTCGCAAAAGACGCCTTGTAATAGTGGCAGAGTACGAATCAAGATCAAATGGTGTGAATAAAGTCCGAAGGAATACGGCTGCCTAAATAGAACCTCGAAATCCAAAGATTCACGTTCTCGTATTTTAGGCGAGAAAAATCGGCGACTTCCCAAAGCAGCGCAATTATTGACCCTTGAAAGCATCAATTAAATATGCAGGCTACCTTAGGTGTTGGATCTCTTCAGGCAAAAAATACCTACGCAGCGTTCTAAAACTCATCAAGGATATTGTATGGTTTCTTGCATTTAATTTCGCAGTCCACATATATTAATAAAAAAAAGACCCGATGCGATAGTAATCTAGGTTTGAATTAGCATGTGCTGTTGTCGCAAAGGCTGTACAGTATGTAAATAATACGCCCTTCCAGGGTAGACTCTAAATATGTAACAGAATATGAACGGATGTGTATCAAACAATAGATCCTTCGAGTTCGGAAATGGCGCCAAGAGAATGGTATATAATTTGAACAAATGGACGGATAACATGATCAGTGTGATTCCTTCATGGAGTCTTAACCCTTAAGCCCACTTGGCAAGAACGGCCATAATGGCCATGCCAAAGGCAATGCAAGCGAAGGCGAACAAAAGCACCTTAAGCGAAGCCTTGCGCATGGTAGGGTTGAACATAAACTCGTGGGCGAGGAGTTCGACCAGACCCGTGTACATGAGGATACCGGCAGAGATAGAATCGAAGATTCCGTTGACGAGCTTCTGGGTGTTGGCGTTGTTTGGCTTGGCGCCCACCCCAGCAGCGATGCCAATGGGGGTGGAAAGGCAGAAGCAGAAGGCAAGCAGGTAGGGCAGCCACTGCTTGTCCTTGGGCCAGGGTGCAACAGCAAGCCTAGAGCCCAGACCAAGACCCTCAAACATCTGGTGGAAGACAAGAACGACAAGGAGGACGATGACATCGTCGGTGGTGCCGAGAGTCAGACCAATGAAGACGCTGTGGAAGAGGACACCGAACTCGAGAATGAATATGTCAAGAAGCTGACCTCCGACGTTAGGGTGAGAGTCTCCCTCCTCATGGGAGTGCCTGTGCGCAAGATGGTCGTGGGGCTCATTCAAGGGGCCATCATGTTCTCCCCTCTCAGCAGCACTTGAGCTGTCCTTGGCTGAGCTTTTAGCAACGACGTCCATGGCAGGGTCCAATTCGAATTCTTTCTGAGCTGTAGATGGGCTGCCGTGGCTGTCCAGCGACCTTGAAGCCAACATCTCGAAAAAGAACATGAGCAGGACCGTCCAGAGCCCGATGGCCTCCGGCCAAGGGTAGTCTCCCAACATGGGCTCCAGACATGCATCGCTAAGGTTCGCAACGGCAGGGTCGAGCAAATGCAGCCATGCGGTGGCGATAATAACACCCGTACCAATGTATTTGCAGACAAAGAAAGCAAACTTCGGAACTGGGATCTTAGATTGCCTGGCGAGAATGACGGGCGCGAAAGCACCGACGCCAGAGGCCACTAGAATGATGAAAATAGAGGCAATGCGCAGGCCGAAGTAGCCGACATCAACGGCATCGCCATTACACTGATCCTGATCAGCCTGGTCTGCCATGGCTATAATAGGTCGGACTGCTGAATTATTCGCTGGCTTGTCGGAGGGGAGACCCAGGTGTCGTCACCTTTGAGCGTGTTATACTCAAGTATGAACGAAGTATACTGTAGTCGGTACCCTTTGAACCGATTGGAGCGAACAGGCACAAGTTATAGACGACCCTAAGCGTTGGAAATACCCGCCGTGAACCTTTATGGTGAAGATAAAGATAATTTCTCAATTTGTGAGTACGGGCGGGCCGAGAATGGGATCATGGTGGATTTTGTTAGATTCAAAGAGGCAACATGACGGGAGTGAGATGCCGAACGAGCAGCCCCCAGACAGACTATGGATACAGTCGATTCGTGGCCGTAGATAGTCCCTTGCTTGTATTGATCTGTGTGGGTGGAGAGACAAGGCAGGGACTGAGTGTGGCTTCCAGGCGGGAGCTATCTCGAGACAGCTCAACTTTTATGTATATCCGTCAGAACAAACTTTGTCTAAGCGAAAGCTTAAACCTAACATTGCATTCGTTCCGCCGTTCTTTCGTTCTTTTCCTCTCTTCAGGGACTGCCGTTGACATTGACCGCAGTCCCGGCAACGGCAGCAGGTACCAAGGCACCGATCACACGTCGTGCTGGCTGGGCTTGCCAGCAGCCGTTGAACGAGGTGGCCAGACATGCCGAATGACTGTAGGCTGTCTCGAAGACCGGCACGCCAGATCCGAAGGGAATCGAAGGGTGTGGGTTTTCTCACCCATCGCGATTGCTAAAACGCTGGTTCGGTGTCTTGCGTGCGTGGCGCGTGGCTTTTGGGCCGTTTTCGAGGCATCGTGATATCAGCCAAATGGTGGTTTTTTCGGACGTGGATTTTTTTCAACGCATCACGCAGCCTCGTCTCTGCAGTCTTGGCAACAACCATCTGCATCGACGGTCAGAAACAGCAGGCAGATCTGTTTTCAACACAGCTGCGCACCTTGATGATTCGTTTTTGCGCCTCTTTGGGTCCTACTGGGGTCCGACAGCTAACGACAGTCTGCCCCCGCCTCTCGTCCGGCGAAGTGTCCATCAAGGTTCACGTCTCATCCGCCTACAACCATAAACGAAATAAGAACTAACTAAATCGGATAGCACGGCAGATCGCAAGGCAAAAACTCTGCTCCCACGCTTCTCTGTTTTTAAAAAGGTCCGTGGCAATGATTTCATTTGTTTCATTGATATTACGTTTGAGTGTGTAGTCCTTCTTACCGGCTCGATTAATGCATGTACTGCCATTGGTCCGCTGCTTTCCAATGGATCCACGACGGAAGCCTGCCCTTTCTCAGCCTTGACATCTCCTTTTTGCTTGGTGAGAAGCTCGGTCGCAATATGACTTCTGCGACCAAGGACCACCCTGTCGGGAGAGGGGGGAATTGGTTCCAGAGCCGCATGTGGCATGAATATGGTGGCCTGACACCAGGCCAACTGATCGTGAATTGAACAACCTTCCTAGCCCAGGTGGTCATCATGATGAGAACTGAATCTCCAGTCCGAGTGTCCGGAACGGCTTGTCCGTCTTTCTCAGGTCGATGCCACTGCCTAAGCTAAAGAGTAGGGATTTTATCCTCCCTTCCCAGAGGACTCCAATCTGCAGGTTCTGGTCCATCCGCGCCTTAAGAACCCCCGCATATTCCTCAGGGTCTCCATCTTTGGGCGTCCTGATTGGTTCTGGGTCATCCAGCTTCCATTTCAACTTAGACTCGAGGCTTCGCTTCGGCAAACCGTAGTTGTCGTCGACAAGTCGGGGGAGTGGTTTCCTCCACAGCTCTGTGCCTACCGCCCACGAACTCTCATAGCTGAAGACGTTGAATTCCATGCGCGTCGCGAGGCTGCAATGCTTGCCTGCCACAACTGCGTAGTTGGCACTGATGGTCCCCATAAGTGGGTTCACTGTCAACGTGGCAGCAAGAGGCGTCCCCTTATGCGACGGAAGGGTCGCAAACCGAGTCCCCAAACTGATGCCACCTGATTTGTTCAACGTGCCGTAATAAATCTCTGCTCCTGTACTGAATCGGCCGTATATGCGCTCGCGCTCCGAGTGGTTTCCGTTCTCAGCGGGCGCCGCAACCTTCGGGGGTTCGGCGTCGCCACCAAAATTATAAACACCTCTGAAACCCAAGAGTCCACCGTCGGAGGATGCGAGGCCCTCCAGCGCATACCTCCCCACGTCATACTGAGCCAACCCTACCGTCGTTCCCCCATCGCGAAGATGCGCTCCCGATACGGCGCTGAACTGGACTTGGAGGGCTGGAGAGATTCGCTTCACTACCAGAGCCTCGAGAAGAGACTGCGGAAGATAGAGTCTGCCATAGAGGAGGGAAGACTTGGCCACATCCTGGCCTCCAGTCAGTGCGGAGGTCTTCGATTTGAGTTCGGTGAGGGGCGCCAAAGGTCGATACGCTCGGAGAAGGCTCGGCAGAGAGATGCGCTCGGATCGCGATTCGATTGCTACGCGCAATGGCACGGAGGAGTAGAGATATGATATTGAGCCATCAACGACACCAACCGACCCAAGCTCGTAGGATGTAGCAAAGTTCGGACTAGAAAGCGATGAGAGAGTAAGTCGTAAGCCTCGCGGAGTCGGGAACTCTAGGAGAGCTGTTCTCATTCCGTTAGAGCCTATATAGACCAAAGAAGGGGGGGCATTTCGAGAAAGACTTTACCGTCGGGCGTAGAGTTGAGAGCCGCATAAGAGTTGTCACGGTTCCATCCTGTGGCTTCGTAGAAAGCGCTGTGGACGTAGTCCATAAACTCGCGCATGTCGACTCGCTATAACATGTCCCCTAGGTAGCGACGAGGTAATCGCCGCCTGGGATTCAATCAAAAGCTCTTGGTGGGTTTTAGAAGCTGTCGTGTCAAGGCCAATGGAGACTGGCCGGAGCTGAACCTGAAGGTTTTCGGTTAATCCATGGAAATCACAGGACAACTTGATGACGCTGTCGCCACAACCGATTCCTATTGCAGTACTGTTCACCTACCCTACGGCGGTGCTTCTATCTTTTCAATCTCAACCTTCCTCACATCCTAGCACCACAAGATATCATTGAAGAGTGTCATTTTTGGTAAGTTCGTTTCAAGGTAATGGTATGATAAAGGATGCACTCAACATGCCAATGAAATGAACTCTCCTCGGCATATATTTGCGAGGTTAGACCTTGAGACACATCTATGAATAGTTTTGTTCACAGCACAGGAAATTGGTATCGTCATCTTCCGCATTGGACAACGGCTGTAGTATAGGCCTTCCACAAACTGTAGTCGAGATGGACTACATTAGCTCAATAGTTGCATGACTGGTCCGGCTCTGTTTCTTGGCTTTGTTCTCTCCATAATCTGTTGAGCGTGACGGCCTATAATACCACAATGCTTTATGAGATGTGAGACAAAATCTATCTACGTCGCGTTGATTGGGCAGATGGAGTAGATATCAGATCTAAACCTGATAGCTACGTCCGCCACATGCAGGAGAGGACAAATCAAGAAACAAAGCGGGGAACGATTCCTCCGATATGACATCTGGATGTTCATATTTAATGGCTCTTCCTTTCTTTGCTTATTCATGGTCAAATAGTGTTTTGTTTCTCTGCTCACGAATTGAATATTTTTACCCGAGAGTCCTGATCATGGAGAACAACAATGTCAACATGAACGTCCTCCCTGCCAACTCGAAGCTATGGGTAAGACAGCTGCTCCTTCGCGAACCATACTGTGACTTTCGTTCTCAGAACATTTAGTTTCTTTGATAAAGCTTACTTCATATTTACCATTCAGCTACTTGATTTGGGTCATCTGGATTGCGAGGCCACTGCGCTCTATTTGGGAGCAAATTCTACCGGCGTTGGCAAAGGGCCAATTGAGCATGAGCGGCGGGATGCTGTGATGATCTCCGCATTACTTTCCCACCCCGATGTTGGCTTGGTTCTCTTCGATGTTGGTAGTTGCGAAGACATAATAAAAAACTGGCACCCGGCAATCGCAGAATGCACACCGCGGGAATGGGAGAAAGGCGTTCATGACCTTCCGTCGGCTATCAAAGCAACAGGTGCTGGGACAATAGAGGATGTCAAAGCAGTTGTTATTAGCCATTTACATTACGACCATGCTGGGGGATTGGAGAACTTTATGGGAACAGGTGGGAGACGATGCCCACCTCATGCCTTTAATAAAACGCCTACACTTGGCTTGAAGGCTGACCATTGCATGCGAACAATAGACGTCGAAATCTGGTGCCACGAGGAGGAGCTCAAGTACGCATTTTGGTCATGCGCAACGGGAATGGACCGCGCCTTCATGGTCCCGCACTACTTAGTTCCCGATAAGTTGAACTGGAAGACGTTTAAACGTGAGACATTCGATATCTGGCCTGGTGTGAGACTGCACCATGTTCCAGGCCACACACCTGGCTCCATCATGATGGAGCTGACCATGGAGAAAGCGGGCACGGTGCTGCTCACCAGCGACCTCTTCCACGTGAAGGAGAATTTCGAAGACGGAATCCCGCAGTCCGGACCGCTGATAAGAGACTACACAGCCTGGTATCGCAGCTCCGAGTTCGCCAAGCACCTTGCCAAACAGAAAGGCGCCAAAGTCGTCCTGGGCCACGAGAACAAATATTTTGAGGCCATGCCGCGCAGTCCTGCCTTTACTGAGTAAAGACACCTTCGTCCGCTGTCCTACCTCCCTCCTGAGAACCTCGAAAGTCGCAGGGGCACCGTGAATGAATGACCCGCTGGCTAGACGCCACAACGTATTGGAACTCACGATTGGGACTTCTGCTGAATCTGCAAACACGCATCTGGAAGAGTGAATATTGGGGAGAAGGAAAGCCGGCTGCCATTTGCAGGTATTAAAAGTCATCAATTCCAACATAAAATGTCCTCTTAAAGCGCCTGAACCCGAATTCATATTTTCTCAACGTCGGCTCTCATGTTAACCAAATAAAAAAACTCTAATAATCCTGCTGAAGATTTTGGATCAAGGAGACGTTGTCTCCCTTTAGTAAGATTTGCCCTGCAAACCAAGTTAGTATTCTTCGCCATTGCTGTGTCATAGATGGTGACGTTTTGCATACCAAGTTCCTTCCTCGATTCTACCGGGTTGTCTTTTGTAACCTGCTTGACTTCGACTGCATCATCGATGACAAGGTTCATGAATTCATCAAACCCCTGACGCCCCAAGTTAGCTTTATCCAGTTGGATTGATTGCGGATGGGTTCATTGTCTCACTCTGATGGTTCCCTCGATTCGGATGGACAGCTGCTCATAGAGCCATACACTAACTCTCGCGTGCTAGATTCGGTTAGCAATGCAGGAACGATAATAAACAGATATCAAGTGGTGTATGGGCCCCCGAATCCTTGGCAATTGTCGGTATGGGTGAATAGCCGTCACCCCAAGGCAACCCCGCGTCGATTGAACAATCTTAAGATTTTAAAGCATCGGCCTCCGCGAAGTACAATGCAAAACAGAACAGCGGTTTTCAATTGCTGCTGAGTTGCGGTTGAGCCTCAGCCGATGCGCATTTCGTTTTCGAGTCTCGACTTGATTCATTTTGTTTGCGGTGGGGTCGCTCCGGTCCAACACTGCCATTGTCGCGTAGATTCAAGGATTCGGGGGAGTAGCGGTAAGATCAAAATTCTGGTCAGCTTACCGTCTGGAGGAGCTTGAAAATCATATTGCTAAACAAGGCTGTCAGTTACTCGAACGCGACTGGGAAGCTGGGCACGTGGGACTCACATAGGAGGAAGGAGAACCTTACGGCCTCCGCCACCACCGCGGCCGGTCATTTTGCAATTCGGAAGTTGGATAGATTATGCGACGGTTGCGCAGCTGTAGGTTTGGCCGTCGGGCAAGTCGTTCACTCGAGAGGTTCGTCCTGCTTGCTGTAGGTTGTCAGGTTGTTCAGAGTGCGTAGGTAATCATAGCTTGGTAAGCTTGGGAATTTTTGGCGGGGCAGGAACATCATTAATCCAGGACCCAAGTAGGCTCGACCCTGGCCACCCTAGACAACCGCCAGCCGTCCACTTTGATGAACCTGTATCCTCTCGGTCTGTCTGAATTGAACAAGGCTTTCAGCCCAGAAATTTCATTCTAACAGGGAGTACCATTCAACTGGATTTTTTGAGCCTCCGAAAAGAAATGTTCTTCACTTTTTTTTTTGTTTTGGGTTGGATATGATCCTAGAGCCCTACTCTAAACTCTTTATTGCTACACGAGTGTACATGTTAACAATCGATGGGCATGGGGAGGCTTAGTCCAAGAAAGCCTCAACTGAGTTGTACCTGCTATTGATGACTCTTCGGACTGGCACACTCAATAGCAGTGTTAATGGTGCCCCATGGAACATCTCACGGTGAGGAATTCACGGTTATCCGAAGATGGGAAAGTAAGAAAGACGTTGGTCGCTTCAAGCCCGGATCTGAAATGTAGTCCTATCCATCAGCGCCATACAGTCTGGCTGTAATGAAATTGGTCAGACTTGGCACGAGCCACAGCCCGAAAGAGGCTTTCGAGCAAAGGAGAGATATGTCAAGATGGGATGAATTTGCGTTAGAAAAAACCAATTGTAATTCTAAGGCTAGATCTTGACTAGAGATACTATGTTTTTGTAAACTGGTGGGCGAAATCGACCTAGAGGGCAGGAACGGTTTTAACGACATGAGTTCGCCATTTCTTGATAACTAGGGAGCAAGTTTCTGGAAGATGCGGACTTTCTCACTGATGATTCTCCAGACTTTAACTTCACTGTTCCAACTGGAACTAAAACTAACTGTTGATGTTATCAGTACAAGATCACTCGGCAGGCTCTTTCCCATACACTTTTCCAGACTGGATAGTAGCGATAAGACAGGCTTATGGCTGCGGTGTTATGGCTTAGGAGGCTATCAACTCTTCCTTTGGCTATAAAAACTGACCCAGGCCGAATTTGAGGATGGCCTATCGTGATGCTATTTTGGCATCAGACGTTAAGAGAGTTTGGAGTCTGAACCGCTTGATCTCAGCGACCAACTGACGCCGCTTTTCGCTAAGGTGGTCACAGAGGTCAAGGAGTTCAGGCTCCAAACTCTATTAACGTCCGATGCCACTTCGATTGTTTTGGTCATAAGCAAGGGCTATTCCTTGCTTAGGCCAAAACAACAAAACAAATAATGAATTGGGCCGCTGCTATTGATAAGGCAGGGGACGCCCTTCATTATCGTTCGCTACCTTACTTACAGGCGCAGACTTGAGAAACAACTGAAATACGTGTTGGGATCTGAAATGAATAAATAGGAAATAGAACAGGGTCATAAAAGAGGGAAATTCAACGCAGCAGACCATTTCCTCCGTTTGCCGAGGGAATCATGAAAAAAAATTGTGGTGGACACATGATCGAGTCGATAAGGAGCATAATGTGCAATTCGTGAAGATCGGGCTGGACGAAGGATTGCGGCTGCATTAGCGTAAGCAGCCGAATTTGACAAAGCCTCCCACACATGCCCTGATGGGGGGGGAACTAAAGTGATCAAATGAGGGGTTGAGAGATCATGAGGAGGATGGAAAGGTTACATTGCATGGAGGGAATATGGGACAGACCGCCTTTCGTTGGTTATCTGGTACTAGGCCAATTGTGAGTGTCCAAAAGTTCATGGATACTGATCGTTAAAACCTGATCATTATCTGAGGGGTTATAAAAAAATAGAATGGGTGATCTGATGGAGCGGAATATGTATAGTAGGGAATGGCGGTGAAGTGCCCTAGGTTCCATCATACCATTAATGTGCAGCCCACCCAGATGGTTTACCTACTTACATGTAGTCTCTCGAACTTGAAATAGGGATTTTGTCTTCTAATTCAGAAATATCATCAACATGTCAGAACTTCCGCGTGAGATATTGCTTAGACATCCGCCAATAGAGTTAGAAGAGAGTATAATCCAGCCGAGTCTATCGTACCGATGACAATGAATCCTACCTATCTAATCGTGGTACTTTGGGGGCTTAGATCACCTGATCTTAGATGACACCGTTCACGCAACCCACTTGTTTGAGATCTCCCTCCAATTGTTCCTCGTGATAACTGTCTAATCCTCATAGACGTATGGGCAATGCTGAAAACCAATGGCCAATCAGAGGCCCTGCCTATGTCTTGGTTATCAAACCCAAGGGGCATTGAAGAACCACAGTACCCTTTTACAAACGTGACCAGCTTGTGCCCTTCTCTTCACAACATTACCCGTATACAGCAGCTTCTGGGCAACAAGCACAACTACGCGACCGAGTCAAAATGTGAGATCTTCGAAATCTACTATGATGAAGAATCATACCCTGTTGGAAACTGGACTCGGTTGGGCCCCTATGAAGTTTCCGCCCACTTCAAGGTAGGTTGGCAGGCCAATGGCTCAGCCTGAGCTCTGATGTTCTAACGCGAGAAGAAACTATCCACGCCCCCCGAGAATCTCAAAATGAGAGCGATGTAAGATTGTAACCCCGACATTGTTTCTTGAGTTGGAACGCTGATTGGAACAGTTTCTGTGACCTGCAGACAGTTCCCAATGCTGCTTTCGGCTTCAGGCTCAACATGACAAGACAGGACGCCCTCTGCATGCTAGGTGCACTGCAGGTTTGTCCTCAATTTTGCCCCTCTCTGTTTGGAGAGCCTGACTACTGGGCACCGGCCGTAATCCGGTCACGAGAGAAGAGCGGCAAGGTATATCGGGCAGGTAAGCGTTGCCATGTGCCAAAGGAAACCGTATGTTTAACCAATCCGCTCAGAATTTTGTTACCAGCATCCACGGTACAACATACACAGGAAAAGGGACGAGCCTTGCTCGGTTTATATATCATATGACATATCAGAAGCCGTGACTACGTATATTATCACCAGTGCCGACGATGATCCTTGGGTGTCTCGAGCTAAGAGTCGTCTTGCCGAGTACTACCTGCGCACTGGTCCAGAGACGCCACTACAAAGGGCAGAATCATTAGATCCGTTTCTTCTCCAGAGCATACTCTGCCACGAACAGTTAATCGAGGCCAAAACCCTCATAAGCGAGCTAAGAGGGAAGCTCTCCATGGTCTCGAAAGCCGTGACAGTATACTCCCAGAGCCCTGCTGACGGGAGTTTGCTCAACACCATCACCCAAAAGCTATACGCCCTCTCTGAAGAGGCAGATGCGCTGTATAGAAGCATCGAGGTAGGCTCAGAGGTGGTAACCCACTGTGTCGGAGCCCGGCAGGAACTACTGGAAGCCCAGCCCAGCCGCGTCTTCGCCGCCAGCAACGTGGGCGATGCGCTGAACTACTTAGTCGATTCCCTCGACTCGCAGAAGCAGTACATCCAGGGGTACAAGAACAGCAAGGACACAGCCATGACTCTTGTGTTTCACCTCCTGACACAGCAGGATAGCCTGACGAGCACGGAGATATCCCGGGACATGAAGAAGGACAGCGCGAGCATGAAGACCATCGCGGTATTGACGATGGTGTTCCTCCCCGCGACGGCTGTATCGAGCTTCTTCGGTATGGCTTTCTTCAACTTGTCGGAGACTGGTCAATTTGTAGCGAGCCGCGAGATATGGATGTTTGCAGTGACTTCTGTTCCGTTGACGGTTGCCATTCTGAGCTTATGGATATTTTGGTCGCCTCTGTCAACGAAATTTAAAAGCGATTGGTTTTGAAAAATTGGATAGAGGTCTGGTTAATTTTTTTCAGGTGAAATGGCCATTGATCCCAACCGGATTGAACGCCTCAAATTCAAGAGTATAGCTCGTATTTGGCAAGTTCTAAGATCGATTCGTCTTGTTTTACGATTAGACCATGTTAGAATCTACAGTTAATACACTACAGGTGACACAGACTCTTATATTTCAATCAAACTTGGGAATTATGGTAGCGATGCTAGATGGATATTGGTCTATTTAGTTTTATATCGCATGTAAGTGAAAGTTTGATCTCTTCGGACGTCCCGCATATGCCCTGCATTTCTGTGACATTTTTGCTGCATGTGTTAAGATTGAGCTATGGGAATGCGTTGTCATCTTACAATAGAGACCGGCGTCTCGGGAGTGGGAAACCGGTTTTGACATCTGCACTTGCCCGTGAGATCCGGCAGATCTCATGTTGCTACTATTTTTGAAACATGCAGAGACGGATGCCTGCCGAGATGTTGTGATGCCATTAGACGCTGGAGGCAACTATCCTGAACAAACATCGTTTTCTGAGAACCGTTGATTCAGATGCTGCAGGCTTCGAAACAAGCGAAAATACATGCGCGAGAGTACATTCTGCTAAGGATAGACCCGAACAACTGTGTAACACTAATAGCAAACAACGTCATGCTATATTTTCAGGTCTGCAACTGATAGAGCCAATAACAAACATTCAAGAGACATTTCACTCCATATCGTCAAACTACGTCGTTTCACATCGTTGATTCTTCTGGCCACTTCGGAAACTGCTACTAAGTGCTCTTCAACCTGATGCACCATATCTTCCGACACCGGCTGCCGACTTCCAAGGCCAAACCTCCGACATCTGGTGACAAGTGCGGGATAGGCGATACCCCAGACTTTGCACGGCGCCACTGGGACGAGATGCCGACACCTGTTGACTTTCCCTAGCCTTCACTTGGGGTGTGTCATTGGAGCGCCTGGCCGATAGCATGATTATCGGAACGGAGCGCCTCAAACAAGTTAGACGGCTCACACTCCCCCCGTTACGTCACTCCACCGTGCATAATCCGCCATTCCAACTGAGAGCTGATTCATCAGCGTCTTCTCTCCTAGGAACCTTTCCTTAATTAACATGCATCCCTATGAACTCTCTCTTTCCAGTTCCGGAACCCGCGCACATCCGAATAACTCGTATGATGTCAATTACACTCCCTGAGAATCCCTAGCCCAAGCCACCATCTGCCTCATCTCATACATGTGACAGCTTCTTCCAGCCGTTCCTATTCCCCGGAACAGTATTCCGTCGTAAGCTCCTCGGAAATACAGCAACGTGAGCGGCGCCAAGTAAATTGAAAGGCACCACATTCGGCTGCCCCCGAGAGGAGCCCCGTTGATGAGCGAACCCTCCCACAATTTGACACAATGACTAAACTGTTATGACGATCAAATTAAGGCCCAGTAGCGGCCCAGTGTAAAA